CCGCTCCCCGGGGTGAGCACACTCGGTCATGTTCTCTGGTTGCAGGAAAACATACGCTTTTATCAGTGACTTCAAGTGCCCAGGCTCCCAGGAGAAGGCCCAGAGCGTCCCAGCTGCCTGATAAGACCTCACGTGTCAACCTTCTGCAGTTACCATTGGAACAGGGACAAAGAATGCACGGGGCGGACAGAGGGATTGCGGGGCTTCCGCACCCCGGCGCTGAGTCCCGGGAGCAGCATCTGGACGGGGAGGCGCCTCCTGAAACCGCCTCCGCGCAGGCCACTCCACACTGGACACTGCCAACGACAAAGACGGCGAAGGCCGAACCGAGGTGGCCGCTGTGACGAGGTCACCGACCTCCTCCCTTGAACTGGGTCCACCGTCCGTGACACAAACAACTCCCCGAATTTCGCGATGTGACAGTTTCTTGTCCGGGAGATTAAGAGACGTGTTATTGTCACTCTCCTGGATACCCTGACCCAAACAAAAAGCCCCAAACCACCAAAAGGTTTGTTTATATTTATGCATGATGCTACTACAACAACCAGAAACAAACTTTCTGGTGGAGCTGAAACCAGGAAGAACGTCTCTCTCCCCCATTTTCATAAAACGTTTTGGGACTGAGAGACACACACACAGTTTTGAAACAGACTCGTCGGCAGTATTTGTAGCCGAGTTGTGTAGTAAAACAAACCCAGGGCACTGAAAATACGACGTAACTCTGGTCTTTATTTTTAGAAGGCTCAGAAACCCCTGCCCAGTGTGAAAAGGCCTCTGTGTGGCTGAGTGCCCCGCGCTGCCCAGGGGTCATCAGAACGGTGCAGCACCGCCGGGCGGTCAGCAAGAAAAACGATGCTTGACACAGGCGGCCAGTTGCGTTGGAGCTCACAGCTACATTTATGCAAAGGCAGCTTTCTGGAAGGTGCTGGGTTTCATCTCAGGCCTTAAAACATATTAACCAGTAAGGTTTGGTTCGATGAAAGAATGCCTGTTAACACAACGCAACGCACATGTCTTCTGGGAAGCTTGTCTCTAGAAACTTGTAGGTAAATTGTTTCGAAGAATTGACAATGGTTTTGAATGACATTAACTTTTGGAATATAACTAGCTCAACAGGGTATATAGTGATCAAAGAAGAAATACACCTGTTAAGAAACATCTCTTGAAGAGCTGACTTTAAACACTGACAACGCAGAAACCTGAGCAACAACATCAGTTTTAAGAGGATAATTCTTTAACGCCATGGTCTCGGTTTTGAATGGGATCGGTGTTGGCAAGCTACACATCCTGATTCCCTCCGATCTGCCCGCCCGCTGAACCCTTGCGCGGATTCCGAGTTCATTCAGCCACATGCAGTGTAGAGCGGGAGAGTGGAAGTAACTGACCTGACGACTTAGGTTAAGCAACAAGAGCTGGCGTTAACGGAACGCTATGTTCAAGTTCCCGCACTAATCACACTGTCAACCATTCGTTTGATACATATTACTCCTTCCCAAGTTCTATAATGCACGAGTTACAGTCCCGTTGAAAAAAGAACACCAAAGTTTACGGCATTTAACCAGCGTGCCACATCGGTCTGGCGGTGAGCAGGGCAGTGCAGACACTCGGGACACCGTGTTGTGTGGGTCCCAGGAGACCGCGTTGCCCCCGAAGCTCTATCGAGTGGGAGGCCAGAACCCAGTTCTCGTGAGCTGCAGCCACACAGCTGGGGAAAGCAGGTTGCAGGGACCCGAGCTCTCAGGGTCTGGTGACTGAGTTTATCAGGTGGGTCTTCACGTGTGCACGCACTCAGGTACAGAGCTGACCTGCCGAGACGCAGATGACCCCATGGTGATACAGCCAAGGAGCGGCCCCTGCTGGCCCCTGAGCTACGTGCCTGGCCTGGCTGGGACTTTGTCAGGTGGGCGAGCCCTGATGGGGAGCGGGCAGTTGCCAGCCCAGGCTCTGGGTGCAGGAGGGTCTGTGCTCACGGCCCTCCCGGCAGCCCGCTGCTCTGCTGACCCCTTGCGAGGGTGACACGGCCCCCCTGAGCCCCTCTAACCGCCACAAGGAGTGCGTGGGAGGGTTTCTGTGAAGCACTCGTGTGGGACCTGGCTGGTGTGTTCACTCGGTTTGTCTTTCCAGGAGTAGGTAATGTTCTCTGTGTGGTGGCGGTGACAGCTAAGTGGGGACATGCTATCCCCTGGGGGACGGCCCACGGACCGGCCGCCAACAGGCCTGAGGCCAAACCCCACTCGGCCACCTCCCGGCCCTGAGCTGCCTACCAGCCCCCAGGAGCACCAGCGAGACCCTGACGTGCAGAGCAGTGACAGAGGCTGTGCTGGCCACTGCGCAGGCCCAGCAGACGGCACGGCCTCTGGTCCACCTGTCCCCTTGTGCCGACGCCACACTGGCTTCAGTGCCCACAGAGGCGGATGGCCCTGCCTCCCTGCGCGGGGGGTTCAGAAGCCCCGGTTTCACAAGGCGGACGAGGGGAGCCAGTCAGGAAAAGTTGTCACAAACCCTCTCATGCAATGCGTACGTACCTGGGGTCCCGGGGTCCAGTAAATAACCTGTCGTTAATTGAAATCTCAGCTGCTTTGTGAAAGCGAACTTTGTCTTTTAAATGGCGAAGCAAAGGAATTTAGGCCAAATTAAAGTGTTCTTGAGCCTCTGAAATAGAAATAAAGTATTACCTCTAAGGACTAAATGATGTACTGATACTCCTGGGTTCCCACACAGAGGTTTTAACTATTTTTTACTTTATTTAAAAATGTAAGCCTCTTAGTCCAATGAGTTTTATCTATGTCACTTTTTTATTCCATTTTTTCAGTGAAGATATCGGAGGTGCCACCTCCCTGTCCCTCTGGCTCTCAAATGCTCCAATGACTGCGACCCTGCGGTCGGGTCGGCCACCGAGGCCCCCACCCTCGGTCACGGAGGTGCTCCACCGCTTTTCAAGCCCCTCTTGTATGAGGGACATGCAGGCTCTGGAAGGTCCCCTCAGGATGGAATCAGGGAAAGGGGGGCAGAGGGAGGGCAGAGCCCGGCTCGGGGGGGGGGGGCAAAGACAGAAACCAGCAGCCCCAGGGAGACCCCCAGCTTCCCGGGACCTTGCATCAGCTCCACGGGGATCTGGGCCTCGGGGGAGGGACAGCTGGCCTTGCTGATGCTGCTCACGGGGAAGAGACAGACCGTCTCCACCCGCCTTCAGTGTGGCAGGCATCACCACGCCCGGCTCTCCAGGGCTGCCGGCCTTTTGGCGCCTCTGGGCCACACTGGCAGGAGAGTTGTCTTGGGCCACACAGTGAATGCACAAAAACTGATGAGAAAACAGGTTTTAAGTAAGTTTACGGCTTTGTGTTGGGCCGCAGTTCCCTTGGCGCCCCAGCAGGCGGAGCGAACTGTGAGTACCGAGCACACGACCAACCGCATCTCCCCGTGGAAAAGCAGGCAGGAGGGACACGTGAGGGTTCCCAAGAACATTATTTGTGGCCACATAACCTATCACACGAGCTTAACATGGGATTGAGAAGGCCAGCTTTCTGTGATGGGTGGGGTCACCCTCACTGTCCTGGAGCCTGAGAAGATGGGGCCGGGGCGGGTGTGAGGGACAGGGCGAGGCTGGTGGGTGGGGAGGGTGCCTCCCCCCGGAGCGGTCACCTGTGACATCAAGGGCCCGGCACCGGCCAGCAAGGCTGCAGCAGGCCAGACCCCCTCCGCACACAGAGGTGTTGCTTCATGTTCCCCGGCGCCTGTTTGTGAAAAACCCAAAGGCGGGCGGGGGCGCCTGGAGTGAAACGACCTGAAAACACACACTTCTTCCCGGAGAATTGAGGTGAAATCACCTATTTCTTTCAAAGGACCACAGAACCCTCATATGATTGTTTGCAAAAGTTAAACTAAGACGGATGACTTGAACTGGGTGCAGGGAATCCATTCATTCTGCACCGGAGACCTGGGTTAAACGCGAACAGCCGGGCGCCGCTCGGACTCGCCTCCGGAGCAGCGGACACCGGGCAGGACGCCCCGCACCCCCGCCCCGCCCGCCCCGCTCCCACGGTGAGCGGTCACCTTCCCGCGGCCGCGGCGGCCCGCCCGAGGCGCCCTCAGATACCAGCGCCCGCGATTGTTGAGACCCTAAGGCGTTTTTTCTGGGGGGCGGGTGGGCTGTCGCGGGGCCCCGCGGACTAAGGGCGAGCGCAGAGCAGCTACCAACGGCCGGCTCTGGGGAGGCAGCGGCGCGCTCGGCCGCAGGCCTCTGCCCTGCACAGCCGGGCAGGTGTCGGGGCGCGGAGGCGTCTTCGGTTAGAGAGGAAACGGGGCGTTAAGGGGCTTCCCGGGGACCCAGTAAAACCGCGCGGCCGGAGCTGTCCGAGCACCGGGAGGAAAGGGGGCGGCAGGAGGCGGGCAGGCTCGGGCCCCTCCCTCCCCGGGCTGCGCGGGACCTGAGCGTCCACCGCCGAGTGTGGGGCCGCGGCCGTGGGCAGCCGGGGGGCCACGCCGAGCGGGGTCTCAGTCAGTGAAGCGGCTTCAACAAGCCTCGCGGGCCCGAGCACTGCCCCCCGGGGCCTGTCGACGGTCCGCGCCGTCCTGGGCAGTGCGAGGCCAGGAGGCCGGCGCGGGGGCGGGGGAGAGAGGGCCGCGGGGCGGGGGCCGTGGCCGGCTCAGGGCAGCGGGACTGTCGCCCGCACGGTGCCAGGGACGGTTCGGGCGGGCGGCCCGGCGGGCGGACAGCAGGAGCTGGGGGACCGAGCGGAGTCCGCGCGGCAGCCTGGGGGCGGCGGCGTTGCGGCTCGTGCGGCCGCGGGCTACCTGGGCGGCGTCCGGCCAGCGCTCAGCCGAGCTCCAGACCTCAGCGCCCCGAGCCGCGGCGGGGAGGCGCGTGGGGAGGGGAGGCGATCAGCGCGGGGGCCGCGGGGGGCTCGGGCCGGGGGCTCCGGGGACGCTGAGCCCCGCCCCGCCCCTCCTCCCCTTCTTCAGGGCCCGAGGAGCCGGCGGCATGGACCAAACCGCGCTGGTCTGGCACCATGACGCCTGTCCGCTTGGTGGTGGCTCTGATTTTAGGGGCGCTCCCTGAAGCCGTCAGCTCCGATCCGGTCCTCGGGTACCCCCTCCACTACCGCCATCGCCATCCGCCCCCCGCGGCTCCCCGCTTTCCCTACTACCTTCCCCCCCTGCAGCGGCCTCCGAGGCCGCCCGCGTCCCTGCGGGCGCACGCCCCGCGGCCCGGGCCGGCGCCGGGTGCGCAGCACGGGCTCCCCCTTCACGTGGGGCGCGCATCCCGGCCGCACCCCGGGGACTGCCCTGCTGGCGGGCCCTGGGTCAACGTGACGGACTTCGGCGCCCCTTGTCTGCGCTGGGTGGACGTGCCATCCCCGCTGGAGCGGTCGCCCCCGGAGGGCTGGGCTCCCCTGCGAGGGCAGCGCCACAACTTCTGCCGGAGCCCCGAAGGCGCGGGCCGGCCCTGGTGCTTCTTCCGCAACGCCCGGGGCCAGGCGGACTGGGGCTACTGTGACTGCGGACACGGTGAGCGGCCTCCGCGGCAGGACTGGGGCGGGCGCAGGGTCGGGGGGTTGCCGGGTCGCGGTGCCCAGGGGATGGTGGCAGCACTGAGTCACCGGGCAAACGCCGGGATACCTTGGCGTTGAACTCACAAGGTGCGCTGTGTGGGTGGTCGTCAGGGCTGGCCGGGGGCTCCGTGCTGGGCTCTGCTCTGCGTGCCTGGGCGTGGGCTTGTCCCTGCCTGGCCACCGTGTGTGTGCTCGCCCACGCGCACTGGGGACGAGTGTTCTCTATCTAGATGAGCTCGCCTTCAGGGCGTTTCGATGTTTACACAAAAGAGGCAAAGCAAAGGAGGTAGTTTCTAGTCATGCGTTCTGGAAAGGGAGATGTTAGATGTAATAGGACACCCTCCCCACGACCCGACTGGGAAAAACGTGCGACACTTGCTTCACTTCCTTCACTGACCTCTATCTGAAAAAGTGTGGCAAAATTTCTGAGCCGAGAGAAAACCTGTGGAAATGATGCTCACGTCCTGGGGCAGAGGGTGGTCAGTGTCCCCTCCCAGACAGGAGAAGAGTGGGAAGGGGGCGGAGACAGGAAGGACCCTGGGGAAGGAGCAGCCTCATGAGGCCGGTGGGGCTCTGGGGGGGGGTGCTGCTCGGCTGTGCGTGTGGTTCGTGAAAAAGCGGGACTCGCAGGCGCGGAGAGGGAGCCGGACGACACTCTGGCTTTGCGGTAACGCGGGTGTCCCGTGAACAGACTTAATGAAGGTGAATAATCAGCCTTAGAACAGTGCTTCCGAGTGATCTCGTATTTTGTTTAATATGAAGGCTTTCTTCTTTCAGTAGCTGCAGAACAAAACCTCATGTCCTTCAAAGCGTAAATTTTTCTAAAAACTGATTGGCAGCTCCCCACCCCCAGCTGCAGGGCAGGGTGTCCCAACGGGCATTGGGACGGACCCCACTCTCCTCCTGCTGATGGGCTGCTTGTCCTCCTGCTGCATCAGGGCTCGAGTTCAAGGAGAGCTGGAGGAGGGTGAGGCCAGCTCCCTTCATCCCACAGAATGAAGTCATCACTCTGCCCGTGGCCGTGGCCGTGGTCGGAATGACAATGCGGCCGCGAGATGCCGCTGTGGTGAGCAGAGATCCCCACGCGGCCTCAGCGTTTGCTGAGAGAAGCTGTTCTCAGTGAGAGCTTGTTCATGCCTGTTCAGCACGCACTGACGGTTTGCCTGTTCTGTGTTTCACGTGCAGAGAGAAGAAAAGTGATTTAGAGTTGAGACACTGTCTCAATTTGTTGCTCTGATTCTTTCTTAAGTTGTTTTATTGTTGTTCAATTACAGTTGTCTGCACTTACCACCCACCACTCCCCCCCCCCCCCCAACAAACCTTCCTCCCTCCCTTGCTTCCACCCCCCTTGGTTTTGTCCACGTGGCTTTTATAGTTGTTCCTGGAAACACTTCCCCCCTTCCCCCCATTATCTCCTCCCACCTCCCCTCTAGTCACTGATTGTTCTTAATTTCAGTGTCTTTGGTTATATTTTGCTTGCTTGTTTGTGTTGTTGATTAGGTTCCAGTTAAAGATGAGATCATATGGTACTTGTCCCTCACCTCCTGGCTTATTTCATTTAGCATAAGGTTCTCCAGGTCCATCCATGCTGTCTCAAAGAGTAGGAGCTCTTTCTTTCTTTCTTTCTTTCTTTCTTTCTTTCTTTCTTTCTTTCTTTCTTTCTTTCTTTCTTCCTTCCTTCCTTCCTTCCTTCCTTCCTTCCTTCCTTCCTTCCTTCCTTTCTTTCTTTCTCACAGAATTCCATTGTGCAAATGTACTGTAGTTCTTAGATCCACTCATTTCTGATTCTGACCTTACGCTCCGAGTGAGGGAGTAGCTGGCCCTGTGACGCCTCTCACCCCCTGGTGTTGAGCAGAAACTCAAACCTCGTGGCAGTGCAGCCCCCGAGAGGCCTCAGTGCTCACAGCTGGACCCCTAGACAGAGCCCCAAACCTGCAGGACACCCACACGTGCTTCCCAGAGGCAAGGGGCCGAACAGTGGAGAAAGGAAAGGAACCAGTGGGTGGGACCTGAGTGCCCCCACCGCCCGAGTGAAACCCCCAAACCAGCAACAGCACCGCTGGCTACGGGACCATTGAGGTACTTTCACGGACTCGGGGTGACCGTTCTGTCACTGATTTTCACTGTTTGGCGTAGCTCATCGCTTTGAAACACCCGGCGTGTGGTGCCCCCCAGGGCTCTCTGGTCCTCCACTCACTGAGGCCCGTGAGCAGGGCCGACGTGGTGACAGCGTGTGGAGGGGCTTTAGAAAACACTGGGGGCTGCTTCTGGCTCCGCGAGGAGGGAGCAGCGTCGGCGCCCGTCTCCGGAGGAGAACCGAACCCGCGCCCGAGGGCCTTCAGCTCTGAGCTCACACCAAGACGGCCCGGCCCATGAGAACAGCCGGGCTAACGAGTGTGTGCGCGTGAGTTCGCTCGTGCGACTCTCACGGCGCCACCACAGGGAAGTCACACGCTCACCTCTCAGCCCGTCCTGCTCGAGTCCTGCAGCTGCACACGCGCGTGCCCGTGGGGTCCGAAGGCCCTTCCGTAGCCCGAGGTCCGGTCTGGGGGGAAGGCGGACGGGAGTCCTGTTGGTCTGGTGCATGTGATTCCTAGTCTCTTCTGGTTAAAAAATGTCCAGGGTTTTCCTCCTTTTCTTTTTCCTGCACAAACACAACAAGGACAAAGGAGAGGAAACTTACAGCCGTGAGACCCCCTCCGTTGGAAGGTGAGCGGGGGGCCGGAGCCGCGTGTCTAGTTGCATCAGGAGAGATGAGGTGGAGGAGTCGGCAGCAGGGACCTCAGGTGAGCCGGGCAGCGCGGGCCCCTCCAGCGGCCGGACGTCTGAGGAGGAGAAGGGCGAAGCCGGCCCCGGCCAGTCCGCAGTGCAGGGTCCTTGCAGGAGAGGCCCCTGGCTCAGCCCGGGGAGCGAGTTCCCAGGGTGAGTTCTCAGAGGGTCCCAGGAAGGCGCCCTGCCAACCAGCAGTCAAGGTGGTGTAGGTGCTGGAGACCCTTGGTCACTGTCAGGGAAAGCCACGGGCGGTGGCAGAGCCCGCCTAAGTGACGTGTGGCCTGGGCGACCCCGTGGACTCGTGGCAGCCCCCATTCTGGAATGGTCCTGCTAGGGGAGGATCAGGCGTGTGGCATCTTGTGTGGGGTGTAGCAATCGGCATCACTGCTGTTTCCTGGCCCGTGTGGGGTGCGGTGGACAGAGCCTGGCTCCTCCCACTCCCGCAGGGAGGGGAGTGGGCTGCACGGCTGACTGGGAAGCGAGTCACCTCCATCCCCCGGGTCACGGCCAAGGGGCAGTGGCTTAACTCCGTGTTTGGAGGTTCTCTCTGTCACAGCCGCAAGTGGAACCAGCTGCAGGTGACTGGTGACCAAGAGGTGGAACAGGTGCAATAAGTGACCCTGTCCTGAATAACTGGGATGTCACCAGAAAGCAGGGTTCATAGCTCCGACCTTCTGTCATGTGCTGGTGTGTACGTGGGCACCTACCTGCCCCTCAAATCTCCCAACGCAGAGAGACAGAGGGGGAGGGGACCCGTGTCTGCAGGTGGCGCTCCTTCTAGTCCCCCTGGTGTCGAGAGGGGGGGCACTCGTGTGGCGGCGCCGAGAGCTGTTTCTAAAACAGGCTGCATCTAGATTCTGTTTGGCAGATGCTGAGAAACATTTCTTAGGGATACCAGATTTGATACAGTTCCTGGCTACATTTTAAATACTGAGCTCAGTCTAACTTTGCAGACCAAGGCGGATACATTGTAAAAGACATTGCTTCCCAGAAACACACTCACATTCACAGTGTACGGCAAACAGCGTTTGACACAGGAACCACAGCGCCGCGGCGAGAAGAAAGCCTCTTCAGTAAACGGCGCAGGGAAGTTGGGAAGCCACGAGCAAAAGAATGAAACTAAACTACAGTGTGTCCCCACGTACAAAAATAACTCAAAATGGATCAGAGACCAGCGTGAGGTCTGAAACAATAAATTACAGAGAAGGAAGAACAGGCACGAAAGTCACGGGCCTTGGTCTTAGGGAAGATTTTGTGAACTTGACCCCAAAGATAAGCAACATAAAGGCCAAGTTAAATGAATGGGACTGTATCAAACTAAAAAGCTTCTGCACAGCATAAGAAATACCCACTAAATTGAAAGGCGACTGAATAGGAGATGATATTTGCAAAGAATAGCTCTGGCAAGGGTTTAATATCCAAAATACGTAAAGAACTCATACAACCCAACACCAAACAAACCTATAAAAAATGGGCAGAGAACCTGAACAGACACCTCTCCCAGGAAGACGTACAAATGCCCCACAGATACAGGACAAGGTGATCAGCTTCACCACCTCTCAGGGAAATGCAGGTCAAAGCTTCAGTGGCGTACCACCTCACCCCTGCCAGAGTGGCTGCCATCAGCAAGACGGTAATGCCACGTGTGGGAGCAGCTGTGGGGAAAGGAACCCTCATCCCGTGAGGGTGAGACTGCAAACCGGTGCAGCCACTGTGGGGCACGGCCTGGAGGCTCCTCGGAAAAGTAAGACTACAGTTACCACCTGGCCCGGCCACCCCTCTGCTGGTGTCGACCCAAAACACGCGAAAACATTTATCCACAGAGATATTTGTACCCCTGTGGTCACTGCAGCATTGCTCACAGTGGCCAAGACGTGGAGACCACCCAGTGCCCCTTGACAGAGGACTGGACGAGGAAGACGTGGTGTGTATATACGACGGAAGACTCACTGCTCAGCCGTGAGAAATGATGCAGTGCTGTTATTGGTGACGTGGACAGACCAGGAGAATGGCGAGCTGAGTGAACTAAGTCAGACAGAAAAAGCTAAGAGCTCACCACACCTGGGACATAAAACTGAAACTCACAGACAGACGTTATGGTGGTGCCCAGAGAGAGGGGAGGGGCCGGAGCAGTAAAGGGTGAAAGGGGCCAAGTGCACGGCGAGGGGAGGAGATCTGACCTTGGGCGGCGGACACACTGCGGTGTTCAGACCACGTGTCGTAGAGAAGAAGTTCACTTGATGGCTGTGTGACCTTGTTAACCCGCGTCACCGCAGTGCATTTAACTTTGGAAAAGATACAACAAGTACTTTGAGTTATGGTATTATCTATTAGTGTGAACATTGTTTTAAAGAAGAAATAAGGTATCTGGTTACTGTTGCCTTTGATGAGTGAGTATCTGATGTGTGTGTGTGTGTGTGTGTGTGTGTGTGTGTGTGTGTGTAGAGCCCAGTCCAACTGGCCTTGTCTTAACTTGGTCATCTCTGCAGAGACCGCTTCCAAACGTGGTCACATCCGCAGGTCCTGGGGGTCCGCACTCCAACGCCTCCTGCGGGGACAGAGTCCGACCTGTTACGGCAGCTGTGAAGACTGAAAACCCACGCAGCTGTGACGGGGAGACTCTCGCCCCGCCCTCCTCCAGGGCACTGGGCGCCGACTGGGACCCACAACATGGTCCCGGGGACCCTCAGCGCTGTCCGGGGTTTGGGGGTTCCTGGTCTAGCAGCTCCTGAAACAGCCACCTTCCTGTGTAGAACTGGAGCTGTGTCCACGCGGAACCAGAGGAGCAGTCGGGTAGGCATCTGAAGGACACTGGGCCTGGTGCGCCGCAGCTTCAGGTGGTCGTCACACCGCAGCCTGGCGCAGGTGGCTGGTTTTGGGCCCTTTGGAATGTGTTGCACCAGCGCATCGCAGGCACTCGGGCCCCCTGTCCGTGACTTCCCGCTGCCCCTGCTTTGGTCTGCAGAGGTGCGGGGCCTGCTCCTGCCCTGAAGCCTCTGATTGGGATTTCAGACCCCACGTTGTCACTGGGCACGCGTTTTAAAAACAGGGCCGTTTAGAACAGCAGAGGCTCCACCCACGTGGCACTGACAGACTTCCAGGCAGCTCGGCGCTGGTCCACTCGGCGTGGTCCAGAGACAGAGCTGAGATGGGGGCCGGGGTGGCGGGGGCACCACCCAGGTGTGCCCTTGGGACCGTAGACCTCGTCTGTAGGTGATGCTACTTGAGGACACGGGAAAGCGCTTTACTCTCCTGTGGAGAAGGGGATCCGATGGCAGACGGCGGCGCCCAGCCCGCGGCAGCGAGGTCGCAGGCAGCGCCCCGAGTTTGTTCTGTGTCCTCAGCTGAGCCCCCGCAGAGACGGCAGGTGCATGCTGGTGCGGGAACACCTGGTGGGGGGGTGGAGCCCGCGGCTCCCGCTTCCACGTTCCACCTGTCGTCACTACGGTGGCACTTCTGTCTGCCTGGGTGACCCGACGGCCTTCATCCAGTGCTGGACGAACTAGCAGCATTGCGGCGAGGGTGTCGATGACCCGGACCCCTGCTCAGCCTCACGCACGGAAAGAAGCCCACGTGTGACCGGCAGAGGCTGCCCTTCTGAAGAGGCAGGCGGGCCCACAGGCCGGTCTGCAGGTCCCCGTTACTTGCCATTAATGGCCCCGGGATTCTTTTCCCTCCAGGGTTGGTCCGGCTGCGAGGCGGCCCAGATGGGTCGGAAGGCCTGGTGGAGGTGTGGACCGGAGGGGCCTGGGGGGCCATATGCAGCAGTCGCTGGGATGACGCCGGGGCCACTGTCGTCTGCCACCAGCTGCAGCCCGGGTGAGTCCTCCCTGCCTGGCCCAGACCCTTCCCAAGGCAGCTGAGGAGGGGGTGGGCCCCGTCTCCCCTCCCCCCTTACCAAGGAGGGCCCGGGGCTTGGGGCCCCGCCCTCCCCTGTCACTGCCTGGAGACCTAGGCCGGGGAAGCATCTCTGGGTCCTCCTCTCTAAGCAAACGATTAGTCCCAGGAAGCTCAGAACCTGATTCTAATCGTGATTCTTCCTCCGAGCCACGTGGCCCTAGGTCACTGTCATTTGCTTTAACTTGCTACCTGCAGCCGCCCCCAGATCCCACGCTGGGGGGTGAGAGGGGGGCTGTCTGCCGCCCTGGGCACCCACTGCAATGACCAAGGGCCGGCACCAGAGCACAGGCTCCAGTTTGCAACCAGAGGTTTTGTTTCTGCTGTTACTCTGTTGTTCTGTTCCTGGGCCCCAGTTTTTCTAAGTGTGTATGTTCTCCTGGGTCTTTATCACCAGAGACCTTAGAAAGCAAGGAAAAGGTCTCGGTGTGAGCAGTGCAGGTGTAAAAGACGGTGCAGTTTGCAGTTCACAGATATTTCTCATTGATGACCAGTGAGTGGGAGGATCTGGGACAGTGACCCAGAAGGGGAGGTGAGTCGGCTGCGGCTGCGGTGAGGTCGGCAGGGACCCGGTCTTCCTGCCGCCCCCCACGTGGAGGGCGGGGAGTGAGTGCTTGGTGCAGGGGGGGCCTGCGGGGCTTAGGTTTTGCTGGAGCAGCCGCCAGGGTCCCGCCCTTCATTAGGTAACAGTGTGTGAAGTGAGGTTGGTCTGGGTCTGGAGGAGGAGAAGGCGGAGCCTGCAGCCCAGCGACTGTGGGATGTAGGAATGTTGATCAGGATTTTATCAGTGAGCCGTCAGTTACAAAGAATGCTGACCCGAGGGCAGCCTGAGGATGGAGCCGCTTTGTGGGCGGGTGACCAGAGTCCCTCACACGCACATCCGCCTGTGGTTTTCTTCCCAGGGAGGGGGTCTGGGAGGGACTCGAGTCTTCCCAGGCCATGGCCCGCAGAGGAGGAGAGCTGGGCGCATGGCTACAGGCCTGCTGGTGGGGGCGCGGACAGCCCAGCCTGCGCAGGCCCCTCCGAGTGCCCACCCCTGAGCAGGACCTCGGGGCCAGCAAACAGCTCAGGACTGGGGTTTCAGCTGCTCTTGCAGCAGCCGCTGTTCGGCCGATGGAAGCTGTTGTGTGAGGACAGTTTGTAGAGTCGCCGTGTTCGTCAGACGGTCATTTCATCTCTTTAAAACCCGACCTCAGTTTGTACATACAAGCGTCTGTGGACTAGATGCGCTAAAAGCAGAGCTTGTCTGCGTGTTATTAGGCACCACCGGTTTCAAAGGCTTGCCAGCCTGTCCTGTGCACAGAGGGCATAGGACAGAACGCACGGCCTCCCTGGCTGTCGTCTCCTGGGTGCAGGAACGGCGACCGTTTTGGAAACGCTAGGCCGCAGGCTGCAGTAAAAGCCTCTTCCCGCACCCAGACCCCTTCCTGTCGGGTCAGGAGGCGGAGCCTGGGCAGGCCCAGCTCAGAGTGACCTGCGGCCGAGGCCACACTGGAACCCGGTCTCAGCTCCCGGGACACGCTCCTGCCAGCCCAGTTCCCGCTGCACGGACGCCGTGTTTGCGCCCATCTGCTAAAATCAGCCGTAGGTGGCGCAGGCCCATTCGTGCCGTTGGCCGCTCCACACTGACCGAGCTGCTTGCCTCAGGGGACTGGCCGAGCTGGGCTTCCCTTCCGTTCACATCCACCTTTGTGGGTCCCTTCCATTTTTAAAAGTCCAAATGATCTGATAAAAATGCGCCTGCCTCTTTGACACCTAACTTCGACCGTTGTGTTTCCAGAAGAAAAGGGGTAGCGAAACACACCCCGTTTTCGGGCCCGGGCCCTGTTCCCGCCCACTGGGGCGACGTCCGCTGCCGCGGGGACGAGGAGGACCTGCTGCTCTGTGAGAGGGACGCCTGGCGGGGCGGGCCGTGCCCTCCGGGGATGGCAGCCGCGGTCCGGTGCAGCTTCTCCCCTGGTAAGAAAACGCGTGTCTGTGCTTGTGTCCCTGTGTTTGCAGCAGGGCTCCAGGCGCCGAAGTGCCCTGGTGACACCCCTTCCTGAAGGAGCGTGACCACGGAGGTCCGAGTCCTCGAGTCCCGCAGCCGTGATTCGAGTCTTCGCGGTGGCGTGGGTGACAACCCGAGTCCCGCCTGACCTCACGTTCAGTGTTTTCCATTTCATCTCAGCTCACAGAGTTGTCACATACCGTGTATGATACCCTTGTTTTGGTCACGGAAAATCACGATGCACTTGTGACAGAAAATCACCTGAAACCAAATACAAAATACAGCACCCCCAACAGAGCAGGTTCCGTCACAGGGGGAAATGGGAACTTGGTACCAGGGTCCCCCTGAGTGTTATAAAGTCAGTTGCTCCCTCGGGCGAGGTCCCCGTAACACTGTGTGCTGGCTGAGAGGTGACCAGTGGCTGGTCCGGTCCACCAGCCCGCCTGTGCCCTGTGCCCCTGTGCACGCCCGCAAAGGCGGGACCCGCCACCCTCACGGTGACCCAGGGTTCCCGGGGGCTTGGTGTGTTTTAATGCGCGGTCACAACCCGAGACCCCCACGCCGTCACCAGGTCCCTTTCTGCGGTTTCCTTGGAGACGGCAGCATGACCTGACATCCCAGGGCTGGTGTGCCGGCAGCCAGCGCCGGGCGGGGCTTCTGCTTTCGGTGCAGGTGTCGGGGCAGGGGGTGCGCAGCTCCCACCACGGAACCGCAGAGACCCCTGCGGAGCGGCCCCTGGGGGCTGCTGGAAGCCCGGGGCCGTGCGGGGCGGCCCGGTGCGGGTCCATCCACAAGCCCTGTGAGTCCCCCGCTCTTCCTCTGCTTCTCCACCTCTGGGCAGAGCGCACGTGGCCGGACCCAGCCGTGCATCGCTGCCTGGAGGGCGGGTGACGGGAGCTGGGGGGGCTGCTCCTTTGTAGGTCCCTGCCTCTGTTCTGTCTGTGTTCAGGCTGCTCCGTGCGGTGCTTCACACTGTCAGGCCTGGAAAACAACAGTTTTCTTTCGGGATATTCATCCACTTAAAAAAAAACTCTTTCGAATCTCTATAAGCTCTCCACTTGTTTATGTAAACGGTGGTTGCAAATATAAACGTAAGGTCATTTATAAGCATCTATAAAATGCAGACGGCTGAGATGAATTTGAAGTGAGACCGAAAACAGAGGCCCCGACAGTCACCTGCCTGAGCACGTGAAGGCGCACGGCTGGCCTGGGCGCCCCGAGTCCACGGGAGGCGCAGCGCCCGACCTGTAGCACGCGTCTTAGCTGGGAAGTGACGGTCAGTGTCCTGTCATCGGAGCCTGCTGCCTTCCACCGCGGGCAGAGCGGGGGCGTGCTTAGGCTCCGGGTCGCAGGAGACGGCACCCGCCAGGGGGGCGCCTGGGGTTTTGTTTGTCTGCGAGGTAAACACAAGTCGCCACCCCACCGAGCTCTCTCGCACGCGATTTTGTGTGTTTGTTGGGGGGGGGGGTGTGGGGCGGTGACCCAGCTCTGTCCCTAGCTTTTCTCTGTCCTCACAGTCACAGGGCCAGAGAGCTCATGTTCCGAGGTAAAACATGGCATTTAAACGTGAGGTGGCGGACCCTGGTGGTTCTGGGCTGCAGGCGACTTCAAATTCCCCTGCAAAGTCTTTTTTCCCCCGTTTCCCTGAGCTTACCTGGTGGTGTGGGGCAGACAGACAGGGGAGAACGTAATCTAAACAAGAAATGTATACATTTCCCATCATTTTTCTACACTTTCCAAGCTTTCTAAGGAAAAAACACATATAATAACTTATGCAAATTCGTTTCCTACTGTGATTCAGCCACCGGCTGATTGCAAGAAGCTCATGTGCAGTGTTGAGAACAGTCATGCGGGGTGAACCTGTCTTCACTCTTTGCAAATGAGCACCAGCTGACAGGGGGGTGGGCACCAGGCGGGAGCGCGTGCTGCCTGCCGTGGTCCGGGACTCTGTGCAGACCTCCCGTGTGGCGTCGGAAGAAGTGTGAGGGTACAGACATCACTTACTGGGAGCCCAGGACCCTGTGGGCCAATTAGAGGCCTGTTTCCTGGGAATCGATGCTTAGCATTTGGCAGGAGATGCAGCTGAATTTCCTCGCAGGGACCCAGCCTGTTCTCAGCCTTTTCCCATATCACAGCCTTTGGTCCAGAAAAAATAGGTCGCCTTCCATTTCCCAGGCACATTCAGTGCTGTCCGTCTGTGCTCTCGCTCATGTGGTTCGCTCACTCGTCTGTAACTCTGCAGCCCCACGCACCCACTGAGGCCCCTCAGCTACCGGCGTCCTTCAGAGATGCTACAATGCCACGTGGCGAGCAAGCCGTCTTGCTCCGAACCCCTGTGGCCGTGTCGTGTTGATGACCCGTGACCAGGCGCCCCCTCTGGTTCCTGAGGTTGCAGGGGGTCTTCCCCTCGGTGCTGTTGGCGTGAGCACGGTTCCGTCCGGAGCACTTTGACTGCCTGAGATCATCACTGAGTAAATGCCAGTGTGTGCCCGTGTCACCGAAGTGGCTTCGTCAGTGATGCTACCCAGTCATTGAGGACGGGAAAGCAGCGGGGCAGAACTAATCTCTTGGCTCGGTGTCACTGTGCAGGTTTCACTGTCTCCAATTTCCTGTGGCACAGGCCCAGCGTCCCCGGTCCTGCGCCTGGCCGGCGGCAGCAGTGAGCGCGAGGGCCGCGTGGAGGTGTTCCACGCCGGCCAGTGGGGCACCGTCTGTGACGACCAGTGGGACGACGCGGACGCAGAAGTGGTCTGCAGGCAGCTGGGCCTCAGGTTCGTCTTCCTTGTCCCTGTTCTGCTTTGCTTTAATTTTGGAATCTAGTGCTTGGTGCCCAGAGGTGGGCCCTGTGTGTTTGTGTCTGAAGGGCAGGTGTCCTCAAACAAGTGGGAGGAGCCAGCCCTGATCCTCCCACCAGGCCAGGGGCTCCAGCAGAGGGTGGGTGCACCCCCCGCAGGTCCCTCTGCTCCCCCCAGAGCACCACCCAGCCCTTTTCCGCAGTGACCCGCCCATCACATGATGAAGCCCCTACCCTGCCCCATCAGGCGTCCCATTTCTTCCCCCCAAAATTGTCTGAACGTTTGGCTTCTGCTTCCTTATTTGTTAGGTGCGTGTGTAGAACAGGGATGTTGGTTAGTGCATACAGGGAACCGTCCCAGTCTGGGCAGGAAGGGAAGCCTGTGGCACCCGTTGGGGAACAGGGTGTCGCTGCCCCAGAGCTGCTGGACACTCTCCTGGAGGTTCCGGACGGTACTGCAGGCCCGAGGGTCTCTGCGGCCTCCTGCTGGGCAAGCTCTGGAGACTTGATACTGCACTCACACTGGCAACGTTTTGTTTGGCGCTCGTGGGGAGGCTTCTCTGTCCTGGCATCTTTTTGTCTAGTGATGTGTCAGCCTTGACACGTTCCAGTTTTGAAACTTGAGCCACCCCAGAAATAAACCTGAGTCTCTACGCTCAATTCGTATCTGACAAAAGGGGGCAGAAGCATAAAGTGCAGTAAAAATAGCCTCTTCAACAAATGGTGTTGGGAGAGCTGGGCAGCTACATGCAAAAAAAAAAAAAAAATTAAGAGAGAGAGAGAGAAAGAAACTCAACCACCAACTTACACCATACACAAAAATAAACTCAAGATGGATAAAACAGTTAAATATAAGCTATGACACCATAAAAATCCTAGAGGAGAACATTGTCAGGAAAATCTCAGACATTCCATGCAGCAATATTTTCACCGATATGTCCCCTAGAGCAAGGGACATAAGGAAAGAATAAACAAATGGGACCTCATCAAAATAAAGAGCTTCTGCGTGGCTAAAGAAAACATCAGCAAAATGAAAAAGGAACCCACAGTATGGGAAAACATATTTGCCAGTGATACTTCATACAAGGGTTTGGTCTCCAAGATGTATCAAGAACTCACACGATTCCACTCCAAGAAGACAAACGATCCAATTAAAAATTGGGCAGAGAACCTGAACAGACACTTCTCCAAGGAGGACACGCAGAGGCCCAGAGACACGTGAAAGGATGCTCAGCATCACTGGCCGTCAGAGGGATGCTGATTAAAGCCACGATGAGACACCACTCGGTACTGAAATGGCTTACACAGAAATTCACCGATTTCGGTAAGTTTTTTGAAATGCAGGCTGATGTGGCAGCTGTCACAGGACAGTGTAACAACATTGTTTCGAATGAAGTTAAAGACAACTAAGTGCTAGTAGGGCTGTAATACAGAAAAAAACAAACCCAAATGTACTTTTTGGCCGACCCAATACATTGTTACTGTTACTAATGTCTGTAAGGTTTTTTCCTTTGGCTGCTGGCCATAGTTAAAATACTTCTTCCAGATGGTCAGTTTGCCTTCTGGTCCTGATTAGGGTGCACTGTTCTGTACAGGAGGTTTCGATCTGTACGTGGATACGCTGAACTCCAGGTTTCTAACGTTGTGCAGGAAGTCTTACTCCAAGGCTGTAAGGGCTACGTTTTTATTCTAGTGACTTCTCTGCCCGCCCGCCTTTTCTTTGCCCTCCGCCCCCTCCCCTTGCTCCTCCTTTCTTTCAATATTTAAGTCTTTGATCCATCTGGAATTTATTTTTGTTTCTGTTATCAGTCTGGGATCAAATGTTATGTTCTTTCATACCGGCCCCGGTGTTCTGATAGCACCCAACCCTGGCTGACCGAATCGGACCCACGGAAACTGTTTCAATGCATCTGACCCTGTCCAAGCATTGATCCCGGGCCAGGCCCCAGCAGGCGGTCACCCTGCTCCCCACAGCCTTGCTCCCCGGCTGTCCCGCTGCTCCCCAGCTCTCAGGGAGTCCCTTCCCGTCACTGATCAGTGTCTCTGGGGCAGGGCCACCAGTCAGTGTTTCCGCCCCTGCAGCCCCTCAGCAGGGCCGTGCGATGCACAGGCCCCCACAGAGGGGAGCCCGCGGAACTGCAGCTGTGCCCCAGCCAAGCGGAACTGGAATTTCATGTGGTTTTGGTTTTGAGTTTCCCCAACCGTTTACGTAGTGCAGAAAACTGCCCTTCGCTCCCAGTCCACAGGACAGCCACAGCGGGCAGCGTGGTCCCTGCCCTCTCTGCTGAGGAGCCCCAGCCTCCCCTGCCCCCCCAATGTCCTTTCCCTGCTCCCATCCGGGACCTTCCTGCAGAGAGGAGCTGCGGGGCCCAGGCCGCTGCCGCCTCGCTCCCTGGACCAGGGCTCACGTGTGTGTCAGCGTGCGGAACCACAGAGTGGCGGGTCCCTCAGGCCTCTGAATTCTGGCCAACAGGTGACGCCGGTCTAGGTTTGCAGTGGGTGTCACACTGTTCCTCGCTCACTGCGGTGTAGGGAGAGCTCTTCCACCATCAGTCACTTTAAAACACTAATTTCTTCACAGCCTTACAGACTACTATTACAAGATCCTTTTGGTATAAAAAACATCTCCCTGGGGATATACATGTTTATTTATTAAAAAATAGTTTTGTTTTGGCCACTGGACTACTTCTGTGAAATACTGTAGGGGCGGTGAGACACTGGGACCGTCTGCCTCTGTCCCCCACTGCCGCCCCCGCCCGCCAGCCTCTGGCACCAGACTGGAGCGGAGAGATGCGGCTTCGTGGGCTGGGGGCCACCGTCTCCTGGGAGTAAAATGACACGGACTCGTCCGGTGCCTTTGGGGCTACACATCACTTCCCTAAATGTGTTATTGGTAAAGTGACTGTGAAATAAGTAAGGAAAACTTTTTACAGCATAAAATGAGAAAATGTTCGGACTTGAATCGATTCTCTCTTCCTCCCCATGTGCCCAGCTCCGCCTTTGGGGGAGCCGGAAAATGAAAACTGGGGTGCTTGTTTCAACCGAACACCAAACGGATTTGGGCAACTTCCTTAGCAGTGGGGAGGTGATTCAGCAGGTGCAGGACACCTCCTCACAGCTCCCCGTGGGGAGAGGGGGAGGGAGCCAACGGCTGGGGACGTGGCTGGAGGTCCGACCTCGTTTAGTGTTCGCAGCCGTGCGTGGGAGGAATCACCATCTCGGTGTTTGAGAGAAGCCTCTGAGGCCCGGGACGTGGCAGCGAGTCCCCGGGTGCCCCCAGCAGACTCCGCACCCACCTGTGCTCTGCACAGGCTCGGCCTGCGGGGAGCTGGCTCTTTGCCCGGGTCTGTGAACGCGGCATTTACATGGTGACTGTTCTCGGCCGCGGGCACACAGACCCGAGTGGAAACCACCACACACTTCACTTTAAAAATGCTACTACTAACTGAACATTAATTGCTTCTTTCTAGAAGACTGGAAATGGCTTTCTCTTCTGTTGTTGTATGTCCCATAACAAAACATGCAGATTCATTCACAAAATTGTCCTTTTGACAATGCGGTTTGCGTTAGAGTTTCGTTTTCGTTCTTTGAAATCTCCCCCCTTCACTGTAGGTATTAATCTTTGGTATCTGTGGGGCAGACTTCCGGTGCCCACTGTACGAGAACCTCGGCCAGTGGCTCAGGTGTCTGTAGGATTCTAGCTGTGCACTTTACCTCCACTCTAACTTACTCCCCCTCCCGTCTCAGCCTCCTCCCCCTTCTCCTGTAAGCATTCCTCCCTGCTCCCCTCCGGCAACCCCTGAATTTCAGACGGAGGGTGGGGCGGCTGATAACGGTGTTTGCTTTCATGGTATTTAACGTGTTTAACTTTCAGGAGTGTTTCAGACGTGTTCTCATAAGGGAAACTCCCACGGCACCTGGTGAAACTCCCCTTCAGCCGTAACGTTTACTATGCACCATTCCTGCGGCATAATTACTCAGCGACCTTTTCCCTTCAACGCAGTTTGGCCGTGAGCTCTCACGCTGCCGCGATGTTGTGGGGAAGGGCGTCGAGGGAAACGCCACCGGGCATGCGGACGCCCTTGTCCGACACTGGCTCAGAGCAGCTGCAGAGGCGCTTTCTCAGTCCTTCCTCACGCCAACAGGCAGGGGGGGTCCTGTCCCCGGAAAGCCGGGGTCCGGGGGTGCAGTGTCGCTTTGAATTGCGGGAGAAGCAAAGTGAGCACGGACGCTTGGAGTGAAAGGATGTTTCGCTGGAAACGTGTTGGGCTGTAAGAGCTGCAAGTGGCAGAGGCTGCAACAAGAGCTTCTCTCGAGAAAGGAGCCCGAGGCAGCCGGCTCCGGGCTGGCCAGGGCCCCACTGTGGTCACCTGCTCTCTCCCACTCGCAGTTCTGGCTTCATTGTTCAGCTCTCCGGGCCACATGGCGCCCCCAGCCCCGACGGTGCCCGCAGGCTTGCACTCAGCAAGGAGGAGGAAGGGAACAAGGGTCCTCCCCTAAACACCCCTGGTCGGAACCCGGGCGACAATGCTGGGGGCTGAGCTCCGCCTGGACGACCAACAAGCTGTGGGAATGGCGATTGTGCTGCTCGCCCAGCAGGGCCGGTCGGTGCCTCCTGCCCTGGACCGGACACAGAAGTGTCTGAAATGCCTTTCATGTTACACAGACTGTGCAACCCACACATGTACACACGCACCGTCTGGGAGAAGAGGGGGCCGGGGCTGTGGCTGTCCTTCCGGAGAGCGAGGCCTGCCGAAACGTGGGGTGCTGTCACTAATGAGAACAGGAGAGTGAGCACTGGGGCTCGCACAGCTGTCTTCGAGGCCCTTGTCACAGTCGAGGATGTAAAGAGGGACAAACAGGGTGTGGCCAGTCCCCAGTGACCTACGGGGTGGGCTGCACGGGGAGGGTGGGCCCAGCGTCGTCCAGCTCTTGCTAGGAGCGAGGGAGGTCCGGCAGCCCCCCCCCCCGCGCCGTCTGACCCAGAACTCTCTCTCGTCCTGTCCAGCGGCGTGGCCAGAGCCTGGACCGAGGCCCATTTCGGGGCGGGGGCCGGCCCGGTGCTTCTGGACGAGGTGCGCTGCACGGGCAACGAGCTGTCGCTGGAGCAGTGTCCCCGGAGCCCCTGGGGGGAGCACAACTGCGGCCACGGAGAGGACGCGGGGGTGTCCTGCACCCCTCTGACGGGTAAGGCCCCGCCCCGCCCCGGGTCAGCGGCGCCCTGGCCCACGCTGCGCGGGGAAACGCTGTCCCGAGTCACTGCCTCTTCTGAGTGTTTCTTCTAGAGAACACGCCGTCCGGTGAAGCCAGGGCAGAAAGAGGGCTCCGTCTCACCACACAGTGCCCAGTAATCAAAACGGCTCTAAGTCTCCTTTTTAGGGGGTGCATTTATAGTGTCGTGTGTCTGCGGGGAAGGTCTGTACCGGCTCTCTGAGGTCACGAGACCCAAGTTCTGATCTGTACCACCGGCAAAGGAGCCAAGGCGAGGCGCGGGCCCCGCTGGTACAACTCGTGAACGGCCGAGGGCCGGTGGGCGCGCCCACTCTCCAACAGGCACAGCCTTGTCCTGCCTTCAGACTCCATTGCCTTTGTTTTTGCAGTTAACGTTTTGAACTTTTCCTGAGTCACCACATTTCTTGCTTTGTAGTTCGAGTGGCTGACACTGCTCAGACTCAGGGAGACGGCAGCCCCGGGGCATCTCCCAAACAGGACTGAACTCAGGGCTCAGTGGCCGCTGTGGGCTTCTGGCAGGACACAGCTTTCCACCAAGCGAGCAAGGGCGCAGAAAGGGAAGGGGGTTCCACGCAGACGCACACGCCTGGCGTCCTCCTTACCAACCACCCGGGGACCGCAGGCCGCTGAGTGGTCCCGAGGTCAGTTTAACAAGAAGCCGGGAGAGAGAGAGAGAGACCCCAGCAGGGCGACAGTTCTAGTGGAAGGAAAATGCAGTTTCGCCCCCCTTGGAGAGTTACTTGGCTTAGCTTTTGTGTCTCCTTCCTGTCCCAGACGGGGTCCTCCGACTGGCAGGTGGGAAGGACAGCCGCGAGGGCCGCCTGGAGGTGTTCCACGGGGGGCAGTGGGGCACCGTCTGCGACGACGGCTGGACCGCGCTGAGCACCGACGTGGCCTGCCGGCAGCTGGGCTTCAAGTAAGGCACCAGGACTCAGGGCTGCCCGAGGCCCTGTGGGGTTGTTGAGGCCGGACGCCGGGGTCCTCCCCGGCGTCCCTGTGCCACTAACCGTGCGTGCTGTCATGGCCCTGCCTGCCTGCCTGCCTGCAAGGGGAGGCGCGAAGGCAGGAGACAGCGGCACTGTCCCCGCTGATAAGCCGCCGTGCCTCCCTGTTGGTCCCCTTTGCCTTTCCGGCCACCAGCCCACGTCTCGAATAGTTGGTTGGAGCCGGGTGGCTTGCTGCCCCTTTGTGCCTGTTCAGGTAAGACTCTGCCGATGTCGAAAGCTGGACTTTGTCCCCGCACGTCGTCAGCCCTGGTGTGGGTAAGTCTCAAGTGGCAGGGAGCCCGAGCCCGGTGCTCCGGGACCCCGTGGTTCCCTGTCTCCCATGCTGACGGCCACGTCTGGTGGGAAGAATGGCCCACTAGAGGAATGGCATCCTAGTGGGGTGGCTGTGGGAGCTCCCCGACCTCACTCTTCCAGCCGGGACGCTTGGGCGACACGCTGCCGGTCCCCACACAGTGCGTCCGAGGCAGGGCCTGCAGCTGGCCCAAGGGACGGCAGACCGTGCCTCTGAGCTGACATTTGAACGGCGCTCACGTCCTGCTGGAAAAATTGGCCGGATTAGCTTATCTTGGCTCGAGGGAGAGCTAATTGCAAATATCCATTAAACCTTAAAGATGTCCTCCATTCAAGCTCGTCATGGCCATGCCTCAAACAAATGTTTTAAATTTGTAAAAGTGAAGTAAAATATTAGCAAAAGTTTGGAAAAGAAGGAAAATAAAAAACTACCCGTAGTATTTCTGTCCTTACACCACCATTCCGGTGTCTTGCGTGACCAACTCTGTAACAGCCGTGCTAGTGGGTGTGGGATTTTCCTTTCCACACTTCTACCTTTATTTTACTACCTAGTCATAACTTGTTTATTTTTATTTTATTTTTTTTAGGATTACTTATTTATGTTTAGACAGAAGGGAAAGGAGAGAGGGAAACATCAGTGTCTGATTGCCTCTCACGCGCCCCCTACTGGGAACCTGGCCCGTAACCCAGGCATGTGCCCTGACTGGGAATCAAACCTGTGACCCTTTGGTTCACAGGCCAGCACTCAGTCCACTGAGCCACACCAGCCAGGGCCACAGTTATAATTTTTAATGACAGAAAAATGTCCATGGAATGTTTCCACCAAGGTTTGCCTAATTTTTAGTTTAGTTTTTTGGTGACAAATACTGCTATCATGAAAATATAAATGCATACATTGCTCAATATTTTGAATTGTGGACACTGTAGTTATAACGACTGGGTCAAGAGGTATGACATACCAGCAGATACATAATGATATTAATTAATAAGAAGTACGTAGGGTCACTGAATCACGAATCTGTTAAATTGAGGGCTGTATGTCGTTTTCACAGATTTAGATTCATAAACGCTTTTGTTTATCATTTTCGTATTTTTCTTATTAAGGTAAACAATGGAGTGACCAGATTTCTTTCTCTGCATTTCATTTACTTTGTCTCATGCACCATTTAGTGTTTTTTGCATCGACAGCATGACCGGAACCCAGTTGTTCTGCAGCCTCTCAGTCCCATTTGTAAAGGTGCTGCAGGGCAGCCTGAGAACAGGCGTGTGCTGCACGCACCCTTCTGTCCGTTTTCACTTGGGGTTTCTCCGAAAGAGACTGTGGGTTTGGGGCGAGAAGGGTCGAATCTGGGTGTCTGTGCACCAGTGAGGTCTCGGAGGAAAAGGGCCCGCAGCCCGGTGCACACGGGTGGACACGGGTGGACAGCGGTCAGACAGATCCCTGCGCTGGTGCCCGACGGGGGAGTGGGAGGGGCCGCAGCGAGCGGTTTGGGCGGGTCGCCTGGCCCGCCAAGGCCGGACTGGTCAGAAAAATAGGAGGTTTTAGAATTAGTGATTAAGAGTGTCGTTGTTGCAGTTTGTTAAAATGTTACTCTTGTTGGATATGTGGGATATTGAGCGCACGGGAAGAGGGTGAGGAGACCCATGCCGGACGGAAGGGTGTCCACACTCTGGTGTGGAAACAACGAGGAATTAGTCCGTGCGTGAGCGAGGCTTGAATCACACAGACCCTCAGGTCGGAGAGAGGCCTTTCAGCTCGGTGATTTCTGGAGGTTTGGGGTTTTCAGGGCAAAAGAAAACAAAATCGGGGAAAGGGTGAGTGAAGGTGCAGACTGGCGTAGTTCCCAAGTTTTATTTTGCAGGTCTTTTTATTTCTACAACATATTTTTATGTATATGTATGTATTATAATTTATTTAGGTTTTTGTAGTGCAGTGTTACAAATAAAGTTAATTAAAACACAAATATAATTCATACATTTTTTAAATCAAATTCCTGTAACTTTCTGGAAAGCGGAGGACTGGGCGCCCTGCGTGAGGAATCCCGGAGGACTTCTGCTTCCTCTTTGGGAGGAGGGGAGAGCAGAGAGGCCCGGAAGGCCCCGGGGGCCGGGCAGGCCCGGCCTTCTCACCCGCTGGTGCCCGGTGCTGCTGGCCGGGTCCGGAGGCCGAGAGCTAGTCTTGGTCTGCACTCTCTCTGCTTGGCGGGCCAAGCCGAGGACAGAGCGCGAGCGTGGGCAGTGAAGAAGGATTCCTTCCCAGTCAGTCCTCCCCTGGACCCAGGGAAGACTGTTAGGGTGGTGCAAGTGTGAGAAGGAGTTCAGAATGGGAGGAAGGACGCTGGTCCTCCGGAGTCGTGACACTTAATTAGTGGTTCTTTCATGTTTCCTGGCTCCTTGCAAGGAGAGACATGCGTTTATTTTATTGCGCAGACACGGCAAGCAGACCTCCGCAGACGCCTTTGAAGAGAGCCGGGGGCCCATCTGGCTGGATGAGGTCAGCTGCCTCGGGCAGGAGCCCCGCCTGCTGCAGTGCCTCAGGGCGCCGTGGGGCCAGCACGACTGCAGCCACCGGGAGGACGTGGCCGTCGCCTGCTCGCCTGGAGGCCACCAACACCGGCCACCTCTGGGTGAGGACCCGCCGCACTGCGGGGCTCGGTCCGTGGGTCCGTGACGCGTTGCTCATCTGTGACCTCTTTAGTCCAGTTCCCAGAGTGCCCCCATTTTCGGTAATTTGCATTCAGAAAAAATAATCTTTTGAGTCTTTCCACCAATGTTGTAAAATGTTGCTCCAAAAGTTATTTGTTTTAATGAGACACTAAATTTCTTCATAAAAACGCTCATAATCGCAAGCACCTGAAAGGTGGCACAAAGGCCACCATGTGTGACCCCCGGCTCATGGGCCCCTGCTGGGCCCTCCCTCCCCTGCTCTAGTGGCCTGTGACCGGGGGACTCAGAGGGCATCCGAGCACAGCGGGATCCCTCCTCCGCCCCCGGGGGTCCTGTCAATCACCGGTCCCCAGCCCTCCATTGCTCTGGCCTGGCCCGGTGTTCCAGGTGCCCCAGGTGTCCCTGAGTGGGTTCATTGGCGTGAAGAGCCCGCCCATCTTTCCAAGACACCCTGTTACTCTGGAGACCCATTGGGGACCTCACTGGCCCCTAATTCTGAGTTAGTGCAGACTTATGGCCGAGTTAAGGTGAGGAACCTGCCCAAGTCACAGATGATTGTGGGTGAAGATTGTCTTCTGAGCAGGGAGCAGCTACGTGTCCTTCACAGACTCCACCTCCGACGAGGGCAGAGTAGACGTGAACGAAAAATGGGGGAGGGAGGTTGCTAAGGCAGACGAGCCAGGACCTGAGCTGCAGGACCTCTGCTGTCCCTGTGTGACCGTGCGGGTGGCATCACTGGTGCCGTCCCCACATGGTGTGCTGTCCATGGGTACGTCCTGAAACAACCCTGGGTGGTCCCCACTTCCAACCTTGGAGTCGGGCTCGACCCTCGAGTCCCCTGCTCTGAGAGGGTGAGGCGTAAATCTTCCTGTTACAAAGAGGCGGAGCTTGCCGATCCGCACAGCATTACCACGCTGGGGCCGCAGATGGTCAGCGTGATAACTGTCCCTCACCGGGCTCTGACCCCTTGTGTCACGGGGCCTCCCTGCACCCAGCTGGCACCGGGCCGGGCGAAGCTCCGCACTCACCGCTCAGTCCGGGTCCTTCCCGACCTCGTCTCTCCCTGCTCGCTGCCTCTGGCCCTTTGGCCCTCCGCCTGGGGTGGGCCCACGATCCTCCCAGGACCGTGTGAGGCCGGGTCACGCGAGTCTGTCTGCTGGGAGTGGGTCCCCTCGGCCACAGACGGCGACGTCTGGGTCAGGAGTGGTCTACTGATGCCTCCGCGCTGCAAGTGACAATTCCATGAGCAGGACGCACTTGACGCCACCTGGCTTCTCCAGCGGTCTGTGTGGTTACAGATGTCCATGCCGGTGGACAGTGAGGCTCAGTTCTCCCGAAACCCTGCCAAACCCCAGGATTCTAGATACGTTTTCAAAAATGTAAAAAGCTGAGGGTGGAAACTGTCACTAAGGTATGTGACCATTACTGTGCATCTCCTCGGGCCTCATGTCAGTGATGTGACTACTCATCGTCCGAGGGACGTCACGTCTGGGCCGGACGTCCTCCTGGAACGGAACCACGTCACCACGTACTCGCCCGGGGACCTCACGAGGGTCCCACTCCCGGGCAGGAAGGGTCAGGCCCCCTCTGCAGCCCACCGACGGCATCTTCTCCCCACGTCTGGCCTCGAGGGCGTCTGTCCTTACTTTCCCTTTTCGCCGGGGCCCCAGCGTCCTGGATCAGGGCCCACCCTAGCCATCTCTCAGCGCAGCCCGAGCGTGCCGGCCCCACGGGACTTCCCGCTTCCCAACACGGCGCCTCCTGCTGGGGCAGGTCCTGTGACTCCCGACGTCTGCGTCTGCACAACTTGGATGAACCTCAGGTGCTGGAGACCAGCTCCTCGGCGACCTTGCTCCTCAGCCACCTGGAGGGCGTGCGCCTTCCTGGGCAGTCGGCAGCCCCGGAGGTCTGAGATGAGATGCCCCTGCTAGCCGCCTCCTTCCTCGTTCTGCGCCTCTGGCGCTCGCCTCCCCCAGGGGCCAGGGCTCTGTCCCTTCACGCCTTCCTGAAGGCCTCAGCTGCGGGGCGCAGGTGTCCAGCGGTGTGCGTGGGTCACCAACAGGCAGGAAGCGGTGCAGCTCTCGGCTAACGTCTTTACTGTCCAGAGCTCAGTGGCAGTAAAACCTCTCAGGGCTTCACCGTGTGCCTCCCTCCCCCCTGTCCCTCCCCCCCTCCAGTCAGCCCCTGCACAGCTCTGTGCCCCTGCACAGCTCTCCCCTCCAGGCCCCGGTGCCAGTTCTGGGCTGCACAGCGGAGCACGGGGACCTCAGGGCTTCAAAAGACAGGGCCGGCTGGATCCGGCTTTTGCTTGGTGTCCCTTCGCTCGCTTTCTCTGTGGCCCAGCAGATGTTGTGGCTGCTGTTAAAGACAAATTGTGCCGTGTTTTGGGACGTCTGTTGCCTCAGCTCCGGCTGCCGCCTGGTGTTTCTGATACGTTTGCATCCTGACGCAGGTTTTCCCATCAGACTGAGGGGCGGGGAGAACAAGAAAGAAGGGCGAGTGGAGGTCTTCCTCGGCGGCCGGTGGGGCACCGTCTGCGACGACGGGTGGACGGACGCGGACGCGGCTGTGGCCTGCCGGCAGCTGGGCTACAGGTGCGGGACCCGCCAGCTCGGAGGGCTGCTCGTGGGCGTGTCTGGTTTCTAAGCCTCGTTCCAATGAGTTAGTTCTTTGAAATTAGTTCACATCGCTTAGTTGGAAATACTGGCAGCTTGTTGATTCAGAATTGTAAAGAATACTAAAATAGAGTCTCTTTCAATTTTTCTGTCTTTTCACCAGAAGCCTGCATTATATCACATGAGACAGGCAGCTCTTATTTAATAATAGCTCGTGTAGAACTCTATTTTTTAAAAAGACTTTATTTGTTTATTTTTAGAGAGAGGGGAAGGGAGGGAAAAAGACAAGGAGGGAAACATCAATGTGCGGTTGCCTCTCACTTGCCCACTACCAGGGACCCGGCCTGTAACCCAGGGATGTGCCCTGACTGGGCTTTGAACTGGTGACCCTCTGGTTTGCAGGCTGGCACTCAGTCCACTGAGCCACAGCAGCCAGGGCTGTAAATACATTTTAAGTACAAAGCTATAAATGTTTTAAAGAGAATTAGTGCTCCTATATGCTAGGTAGAAAATAATAAGAAAAATGATCTCTTCATAGAAGGTACTAAAAGAAACAAACAGAAAGTCTGGGAATGAACTTGACAGGAACTGAGACCGATGTGGAAACCCTCGGTCTTCACTGCAGCCGGAGGGCCTAATAAATGCACAGCCACAGCCCAGTGGGAAGAGTAATCAGAAATTGATGTCTACATTAAACGCTATCCTCATAAAAACTCTCCGGTTCTCTTGGTGTCGGGGAGCAGGGCAGGGCCTTGGCTTCCAGGTGCATCTGATGCCACCCCCACGTGGGGCAGGCCTGGCAGAGCCCCCGACCCTCGGTGCAGCCGTGGTGCCGGCCTCGGTCGTCCGTTCAAGTCCCTTCATTCGGGACATAAAAACTAATGCCCGCGCCTGGCCACATGCCGCGGATTCCACCTTAATAGGTGCCGGGGCCTTAGGATTTGCTGAACTCTAATGTTTTCAGTGGCAGTTGACATTCAGTGTTATTCTGCATGAGTGTCAGGTGTGCAGCATGGTGGCGAGACACCTGCGTAATTTACACAGCCCTCCCCCAGACAGTTTCGGTGCCCAGCCGGTGCCCTACACCCGGCTACAGGCCTCCCTGTATTTTAACAACCCCCCGAGATAACTCAGCGCCTTGCCAAGGTCGGGAATCTCTGAGCTAGAAACTCTGAACAGCGGCCTCAGTACATAAGCGTGATTAATGAGTAAATAAAAAAGCCCCTTGAAGTAGCAGGAGAGGGTGTGGGGACAATTGCTGTGGGGACAGACATCTCGCTAGACCCCCTCCTAACACCGACCAGAAGTACGTTCCAGAGAGAACTGTGATACACCAATTAAAACAGGAAAACTTTTCCTCTAAACGGTGCCATTTTGGTCACACACGTTTCAGAGGCACGACTGGTTTCCCAGAGAAGTGCCGCAGTCAGCAATGCCTCTCCAACCCTGAGAAAGGGACGCGCTGTGCCTCACTCTGATGGGCCCCTGGCTGACGCTCGGCCCCGAAACGCTCTGCTTGCAGGGGTCCTGCCAGGGCGCGGGGCCTGGCGTACTTCGGGGAGGGAGGAGGGCCCATCCACCTGGACAACGTGGGCTGCACGGGCACCGAGGAGTCCCTGGCCGACTGCGTCACGCAGGACGTCGGGAGGCACGACTGCCGCCACGGCGAGGACGCGGGCGTGATTTGTGGTTATCTGGACAGGAAAGCCCCCGGCAACGCTGACAAAGGTGAGTCTCTCCTGGCCCCACCCCAGTCGGGAGCACCAAACCCCCTCCCCAACCCCAGGCGTCCCAGGCCTCCTCTGGACGAAACGTGACTGTCCCCGTTCTTGGCGTCCTGGAGGAGCCGGAAGTGACGCTGGCCTCACGAAAAGAAGGAAAGAAACGAAAATATGAGGATGGACCCTGAAAAGGCGCTTCTGTTCATCCTGTACTTCAGACTACAGGGATAATCCTTTAAGTTAATTCCAGAAAGAAAATTATTTTGTGGGTTTTATTCTGTGAAGTTTAATGTGAGTTGAGAAATAGTCTTTTAGCATAATATAGTAATAGACGTTTCCTACTTAAATGGAAGAGTTGTTAAAATTTCCGAGTTTGGTGTTTATGCAGCAAATACTGCTTTAAATGAGCAAGTGGAAGAACTAGCTGTTTTGGACAACTGGTTCTGTTTTATGAAGAGAACAAGCACTTCTCCGTGTGGATAGGAAGTTCACCGCTTTAATACACTGGGTTTTCTGAGAATGAGGTGTCTCTGCACTTGAACATCCTCCTCCAACACCTTTCCCTACCTGCCGAAGACGAGACGAAAGGCAACGGCACGTCGTTGGTCCTCCCCCCAGTCTCTGAGCACGTCTGAGAGAGGACCCCGCGTGGTCCGTGGTGCTCGGAGACCTGGGCGCTCACGCACGTGCGGTCGGAGCCACGGACGAGCCAGTGGTTCCCGAGTGCTGCTGACGACTCAGTGTGTTGCGTCCCTTTAGTAACTCGAACCACAGTTACCATTTGAACGTAACCAATGTAACCAACATAATAGTCTTTGGATGACTCCTTAAGCGAAAGGAAAACACAGACACTCAGGAGTCGCAGAGAGTCTCTCTAGATCTCCACGCAGACCGACTTTAAAAGGACCTGCCGTGGGCCAGTTGCCTCCCTGATGCACGGGTCTCCTCGCCTCCCGGGAGCTGTAGCAGGGCCGCTGCTGACGCCTCCGTGGTCCCCGCGCCGCCACCCGCAAATGGAAAGACGGCGTGGGCCTCAGACCGGCATCTAGAGCCTTCTCCGAGGGGCTCCGATCTAAGCCACGGGTTGTCTGACGGCGTCCTCTCGTAGATGAACTCTGTTTTGCCCTTGAACTTTTGGTAACAGAGGGTTTTCCGGCCTCACACAGGTTTCCTTCGTTGCGCTCTGGTGCCTTGCCCAGTGCGAGGGCGCGTCTGCTCACTGTCACCTCACGCCCTGTCCTGGCAGTGGGCCCACTGAGCTGCCGCAGCACTTCTGGGTCCTTCTGACGTCCCGTAGTCTGCAGTGTGGTGCAGAGGACGCTCGCCCCGAGAGAGGAGGGTGGGGTTTGACAGCGGCCTCTGTGGGCGCGCTTCTCCCACAGACGGGAACTCAGTGCCCACCTGCCCTGGGTAGGTGGGCGCTGCCCCAAAGCACAGAGCGCCGCCCTGCAAAGCGCTTCCTGAAATCGTCTGGAAACTGGCCAAGCCTCAGCTTTTTTCTTCTTCTGGCACCAGCTCATCATGAGCCGTTAACTGAGCTCTTTGCTTATGCTCTTGACAGGACCTGTCCCCTGGGGAAGCTGACGAAATGCAGTTTGCCCCCTGGGTGGGCGTGGGAAGCCCCTTCTACTTGTTGACGCCCGAGTCTGTGTGGGGTCGGGTCAGGGTTCCCTCCCCAGGCCGTGCTGACCCCCTCGAAGCTGCACGTGCGCCTCTGTGGCTCGGAGGAGGGTCCTGTGTGAAGAGCAAGTGGTCTGGACCGTGTGGTCTTTGTCTCACGTCCCTGAACCCCAGACAGCCTCCAACCCGCGCGGGCAGATACCAACAAGGTCAGACCCAGCAGCCCGAACCCCGCTCCGGAGACCAGGCGGCAGAGGGCGGAGTGAGCGGCGCCCCGCCTGTGGCGCCCGCTGCCTGGGGCGTGCGAGGAAGGAGCTGGTCGTCCTTCCTGTAGGGAAGAGGCTCCCGCGACTGGAAGAGGAAGGCGCTGGAGGCGGGTGGGGGCAGGAGGGGTGCGCGACTGTGCCCCGGGCGATCTGAGTGCAACTCTGCACCCTTCCCGCCCAGCGTCCCCGCCGTCCACCTGTGGGCTCCGGCCGCTGCGCCGCCGGCAGAAGCGGATCGTCGGTGGGAAAAACTCCTTAAGGTAACCAGCTGCTCCTGGGGGCGGGTCCCTCCGTCACAGAGTGATGGACGGACACACAGGGTCACAATCGGGGCTCGCCGCTGTCACTGGGGGTGTGACGTGCCCGTGTTCTTTTGCGCATTAAACACGGACCGCACCGAGCCCCCGCCGCCCTTTGGCGTGTTCCCAGTCACCATCCTGACTCACCAGCCAGGTGTCTGCTGAAAGGCGGCAGCAGGCGCAGGCGCTTCAGCTGCGGATGGAAGGACACGCACTGCGGGCGCACTGAATTCGGAGTGCGCCCCTTCTGGGCCGGACTCGATTTAGTGCCGCTGTTTTGCTGGCCAGATTAGCTCCTGGAAAACCAGTGCTTGGTGTTGGATACCGTCCAGGCTGCTGGGGGTGGGGCAGGGGGAGGGCACACGTCCGCTCCTGCAGTGTGGAGGAGGCCCAGGTAGTTGTTTCTGGAATGTCGGTGTGGGGTGCACACAGTGCCTGTCCTGCAGGACTGCGGGCACGTGCTCCAGTGCGGGGAGAGGGGGGGATTTCACCCGAGGCCCCCTTCTGCCCTCCGCCCCCACCCCCACCTCAAGCCCACCGGGTCATCGCCTTAATGGGTGCTCTCCTTTGCCCTCCTGCTCCGGGCGGATGCGCATGGGGGGCTTCTTTCCCTCGCAGGGGCAGCTGGCCGTGGCAGGCGTCGCTGCGGCTCAGGTCGCCGCGGGGAGACGGCCGGCTGCTGTGTGGGGCCACGCTCCTGAGCAGCTGCTGGGTGCTGACGGCCGCACACTGCTTCAAGAGGTAGGTGTCCCTGCTGCGCGACACGGGTGACAGTGCAGACCCTGGATGCAGCCTGGAGCAGAGAGCCCTCGGGGGCCCCTGGGGGCCCGGTGGTGAGAGGGTGTCAGGCGTGTTCGCAGGCCAGCGGCTGTTGGTTACAGTCTGAAACTTGGAAAGGCCCGAAAGCCGGGTCAGTGAACTTCCGTTTCCTGCTGGGGTGGCGGGGAACCGCTCCAGGGCTGTGGACCTTGACCTGGGGGCAAAGAGGAATTTCAGGAGCCGAGCCGAACGGAGACGTTTGCATTGGTCTGAGTGGGCGCAGCAGTTAGCAACCCAGAGTCTGGGAATGAGCTCCCCGTTCTGTGCAAGTCTTTGTGTGTGTGCTGTCAGCCTTCTTCCGGAGGGACCCGCCTGAGTGCCCCTTACCGTGGGGGTCAGACCCACGTGGTGGGGACTGGGGGGCAGGTGGAAGGCTGCTGTAGCAGATCGGAGGGTCAGAGACGGGAGCAGAGGTGCAGACGCCCCAGCACGCCCAGTACCTTCCCCCGAGACCTGTGTCACCTCTGCGGTGTTAATGTGTGCAGTTTCTGTTGTTCAGTTTAAGTCGAGTCTCGGGGGAGGGGGATCTTGCTCTCACTGGGCTGCGGTGTCGTCTTGCTCAAGCTCGTCTGAAAACCTCATCCAAGTTGTATTTGAGGGGGAGGCGAAGGCATTTCATCAAAGCAAACAACTGGATGGGGTGTCAGCCAAACTGGAAGTGCTTATTTTGGAAACATTTTTGAATATAATAACGTGTATCAAAATAACTGAAGCTCAACCAGAAAGACCTTAACATAGGTTGCCAACGAGGGTTCCTCGAGCTGTTGTCTTGAGAAGCCCAGAGACGCAGTGAGCACCTCCCAAGCCCACAGACACCTCGGGGGCCTCTGCCGGTGCTGTGCCTGAGGGACTGTCACGGCCAGCGAGCCTACGACCCTCACCCCCAAGGATCCTCACTAGTCCCGGAAGTCCTGGAAAGGGTCCCAAGCGCTGCGGCCGTGCTCTGGGGCTCGGCCAGGTCTCAGGCGGGGCCGGAGGCGCTTCCTCGTTCTTCAGACTTGAGCCTGGGAGAGGAAACCCGTCTTGGCCACAGGAGGACGAGGGGAGGGAGTGGGCTGTGAGCGGGTTCAGCAGAGACAGGTTTGGGCGACACTTCTCTGAGCAGCTGCGGGGACAGGGGCGCGGAGACCGGCTGGGAGGAGGGCGGTGGGTAGACAAGGGCCGTTCTGGGTGGGTTGGTTGGCTGTTTCGGGAGTCTGAACCTTGTCATGTGGACAGTGGGGCCCTTGAAGGAGGTTCAGAAGACCGGCTGCCGCACGGAGGATGGCTGGATGTTAACCTTGACCCTGAAGAGGAGGGCCCTGTCATGGACTGTCGCCATGGTCCAGGCGTGAAGCAACACACGGAAGCAAGGCCACCCAGGATGTGGGCGTGTATTTTGGACACAAAGTTCCTTGTTTCCATTCAGATGCAAGGGTTACCATAGCTAAGCATTAGCTCTTTTTAAAGAATGGAGAAAACTTCTTTTTAGGTTGAACAGTAATTTAATGATTCTAATGGATACAAAAAGTTGACACATGAGGGGAATGTCTCATAACTCAAGTGAAGTGTTATAAACAACATAGGAAACGGCACTGAAGGGAGATGGTAAAATTGGATGCTTGGTTTGTGCCAATTTGATTGTCTCACCAGCGCCACCTAGTGGAATATGACGTGAGCCACAAACACAAGCCATCTGTGTAGCTTTAAATCTTTTAGTAGCCGCACTAAAATATAAAAAGACCAAGCAGGTGAAATTAATTTTAATGATATACTTCGACTCAGCAGATCCAAAATATTGTCACTGCAAAATATCAGAGTTGAGACACTTAACTTCTTATTAACTATCTAAGGAGGCGTTATTTGTAGTGCCCTTTTTTCACACTGAGCACTGAGGATGCGGAGCCTGCCTTAGACTTCGGCTCATTGGCCTTGGGACTAAGTCCGACGGACACGGGCACCTGCTGGCCGCTGTACTGGACAGTGGACAGCGTGGGGCTCCAGCAGTGCCCGAGGCACCTCCGCGGCACTTTGAGGGGTACTCTCGCCGTCATTCTCGGGAGAAAGGCAGTGAGTCGCCTGGGGGTCCACGTTAAACCTGAGCACGTTGACCAGGCCCTGAGCACTGAATCTTTGCAGCGGAATGGCGGTACCGGGGCACAGAATGTGGACGTGAAGGGAGCGTCACTCAGATGTCCGAACGTCGCCCGTGACTGTTGCTCCTCAGTTTCTGGATGCGAAATGGCCCTAAATCTTACTTTCAGTTGCAGTGGAGCCGGACGATGATGTCTGGCGCGTGCGGGTGCAGGAAGCCTCCGAGTGTTCAGATGGGCGCCGATTCGGGGTGGGCGGCGGACACCCACCCTCGAGGAGCTCAGGAAATTGTCAGTGCCACAGAACTGCAGGGGGCAGGGGGTGTCTGCACAGGCTGTCGCCGCGGTCGCGCTGTTCTGGGCTGGTGGCACTAGGTGACTCTGCACAGCCGGAGTTGTCGGAGCCCTACCCTCGGCTGCTGCAGCTCCCGGGAGCACACGGCGGTGGGTGGGTCGGCACAGAGCTAGGCGGCCGCAGACAACACCGGCGTCTCTCACTCCACGTTCAGGCGCGGGCCTGGTGCCCAGGGCCAGACTTGCAGGTCTGGGGGAGAATTGAGATGGCAGCTGTCGAACATCACTTCCGCTCTCAGCAGTCGCGGAGGCGGGAGCTGGTGAGGCCAGAGCTGGGGTTTCGGCAGATCTGAGGAAGGAGGGACTGGGAGTCTTTGCAGAGAGTGACTGTGGGGTCCGAGCCTGGTGAGAGGGGCGCACGGGCAGAGAGAGGCGGAAGCGCACGGAGCAGTGGGGTCAGAGGACGAGCCCCGTGGGGCTGGAGGGGCTGGGCGGGGCTGGAGGGTGCTGGGGGCGGGGCATGCAAAGAAGGCTTCAACTCCCAGAGGGGCCGGAGGTGCGCGGTGGCTCGGGGTCCCCAGGAGCCTGCGCCCCGCCTCTGACCGGCACCGTGCTGCGCAGGTACGGGAACAGCACTCGGAGCTACGCCGTCCGGCTCGGGGATTATCACACTCTGGTGCCCGAGGAGTTCGAGGAGGAGGTGGCGGTGCAGCAGATCGTCCTGCACCGGGCGTACCGGCCGGACAGCAGCGACTACGACATCGCGCTGGTCAGACTCCAGGGCCGGCGGGGGCGGTGCGCCAGGCTCAGCCGCCACGTGCTGCCCGCCTGCCTCCCGCTCTGGAGGGAGCGACCCCAGAAGACGGCGCCCCGCTGCTACATCACTGGCTGGGGAGACACAGGTAATGGGCGCAGCAGGGGCCTGGCTCCCGCTCGGGTCTGGGTCACCGCACCGTGGCTGGGGCACAGCTGGCTGTGAGAGCGCTCGGGGCCCAGGCCGAGTTGTCCGGAAGGCCTGCTGAGGGCCGGTGCGTGCCCGTGTCTGGGACTGACGTCCTGGGTGCTGCTGGGTTCCTTTAGGCCTCTAGGCTGAGCGGACAGCGCTCCGCGGCCTCGGAGTGGAAGGGGGTGGGAATCCTCTGCTGCCTTCCAGTTCCCCAGACTAGTGAGGAGACAAAGGGAGGGGTGTGTAAGGTGTCCCCCCCAAGACTTGGGCCTCCTGCCCTTGCTGCAGCTGCCCCAGCAAAGGGCTGTGGTTTGGGGCAGTTTGCTTCTCTGTCAGGGAGCCTGTGGCCAGACTAATTCCTAGGGAGAATTCCTTACCGGCGAAGGAAGGCCGAGCATCTGGGGCGGAGCAGCTGGGGCGGACATGCAGGGACCTACCCTCTCCATCCTCCTTCAGCCCCCGCCCTGGTGCTCCACCTCCAAGTTCCTGGGCAAGAGTGGGGTTCCCAGACCCCGTCTGTCTCGGTTACATCAGCCCACGTTGCCCCTGGGACCGCAGAGCTGAGTGCATGCAGGTGAGGGGCCAGGCCCACAGTGGTTCGGGAATAAGGAGCGATGGCAGGCTGATTGCACTCCGTTAAAAAATACCCAGCCCTGGTAGCTGCTGGAAGGAGCATCGGACACATCTCTCCGCAGGGATAGTTCCAACCAGACAGGTGCTGTTTCGTGACCCTCAGCGGTTCCGTGTTCGGCGCACCTGCGCTTCTCTGCCCTCGTCGGTGAAAGGCAGGTGCAGGTGTAGCAGGTGCAGGCAGACAGGCACGGGAGTCGTCCTGAGAGCCACCGCCATCGATGACATGATTCCTGGGCGGTGCGGTAGTTGGGTGGAGCAGGGCCTGCTTGCTCGGTGCACCGTGCCGATCAGGGGGCAGCCCGGTCCGGAGAAGGTGCACGTTTACGTCAGGAGCATCGGTCACTTTCCTGTGGACACAACAGGAATGACCGGGGGGAGATTTTTACAGCCCGTTTCATCAGTGCGAGCTAGTCCAGATGAGCACGGGGGGCAGAGACGGGTGGGATGTCGGTGTCACGGACGACGTCGCGGTGTCCGCGCTGCAGTCACTCAGGCAGCGCACGGGGTGCGTGGGCGGTGGGAGTGAGGCCGGTCCCTGCAGGGGCAGGTCTCGTTTCTGAGGCCTCTTCATGAGAACGGTTTCCACTGGTGACCATCATCGCCACCGTCCATGCTTACACTTACCACTAACACTCCAGTCAGTGAGGTGGGTGGGCCTCAGGGGGGTGGGTGGGCCGGCACCACGCAGGCCGGAGAGCATCCTCCGCCTCCACGGGCGGAGTTCAGGTGCCGGCTCCCACACCCGTGCTGTCCCTGCACCCAGTCCACAGGCGCCAGTAAGCCCATCTCGGAACCTCGGTGGTGGGCCACAGGCCGGTGAAGGGCGGTGGGAAGGCGCTGGGAGCAAACGGGAAGCAGGGCCGGCACCGTCCACCACCGAAGCTGCACCAACGTCACTCTAGGGCTCCTGTTTCGAAGGCTCCGAAGTGTGCAGGAAACTGTCACCTGGAGCTCTTCCCTGCAGGCTCGCTGGCCGGCAGCTGACTAACGCCACTCTGGTTTGAGCAGGACAGGCCTACCCCAGAACTCTGCAGCAAGCGGCCATCCCCCTGCTGCCCAAGAGGGTCTGTGAGGAGCGCTACCAGGGCCGGTTCACGGGACGCATGCTCTGCGCTGGGAACCTCCAGGGACACAGACGCGTGGACAGCTGCCAGGGTGACAGCGGAGGACCCCTCGTGTGCGAGCGGCCGGGAGCCAGCTGGGTGGTATATGGGGTGACCTCCTGGGGGCACGGCTGCCGTGTCCAGGATTCGCCCGGCGTGTACACCAAAGTCTCGGCCTTTGTGCCTTGGATAAAAAGTGTCACCAAAGTGTGACTCATGGGAACCTCAAGGGAAAACAGTATTTAAAGAATCTGTTGGAGATTTCCAACCTTCACATGGGTGCTCGGCCAGGGGTGCCAGCAGATGGGGACCGAGGTCCCCGATGGTGGTTCAGGTTGAAGACTGTGTGCACCGCCCCCCCCCCGCCTTAGACAGCGTGCAACGTGGGTGGTTGTTCGATACCTCAGTGCAGTGCTAATGGTCTTTTATGAGCACAGTCGCCGCCCCAGGTTAGTTTCCTCGGACACTAAACTTACTCTCATTTGAAACTTTTGCCTAGTTCTCAGAACTCTCAGATTATTGTGTATTTTGGTCGTACAATGAGGCCGTTTCTACCTTTACTGGGAGAACTTCTTATAACTGAGTGACTGATACATGGATCCATATTCCGTGCCCATATTTGATGTGACCTTCACACAGCTGATCTGTGTAGACTGTCAAGGGGGGAAATCTAGGGCCAGGAGGTCAAGGAATTCTGCTCAGTCCCCACAATGGACAGATTCACTGTCACAGCACATTCCTGAACGGTGCTTTGTAGTGAGCACCATGGCGATCGTGAGGGCAACATTCCTGTTATCTTGTGTGTTCTTAGCAACGTGCAGAGGAATTCCTGGTAACACAATAAAGAATGTCTTCAAGTTGTCGGATGCACAATCTAATTTATCCACTCGATTAGTTAACACCTCCACTCTGGTTCCTTTTAACTGTTTCAGGTTGATAACTGGGTAAAATAAATGTTTATTCCATAGGATTATGCTGTTTTCTGCATTACCTAAGAGTGCCATCTGTTGCAACTGTATGGCCATTGACTGAATCCTGTCCAGTTCCTAAGGCCAGCCTGGTGGTCCCATTTAACACACTGAACAGGTTTCCCGGCCTACAGCGGGGAGACTGGCAGGGCGTCCAGCCCACGCTCAGTGGGCTGCATGCGGCCCAGGATGGCTACGAATGAGGCTCAACACAAAATCATACATTTATTTTTTAAATATTTAATTTATTTTTCGAGAGAGGGGAAGGGAAGGAGAAAGAGTGGGAGAGAAATATCAGTGTATGGTTACCTCTTGTGCGTTCCCTGCTGGGAACTGTGCCGACTGGGAATCGAACCTCGATACTCTGGTTTGCAGGCCTGCGCTCAATCCACTGAGCTACACCAGCCAGGGCATAAATTTACTTTTTTTTTTTTGTTGCTCCTTAGTATTTAATACCAATACTTCTCTTAGTATTTATTTAACGTGTGGCCCAGAGATGCCAAGAGGCTGGACACCCAGTTTCATTGGGTGTAACTCACCCACCTGTTCTCGGCTTGGGCACCTCAGTGCACTGCTATGGAAAGCAGCCAGATTTCCCAGCAACCCGTTTCTGAATGAGAACTCGGCCGAGAGGGGTCAAGGCGAGAGGGCTGGTGAAAGGCTTTGACTGCAAACTCCCAAGGTGGGCCCCTGTGCTGAGGATTCCTTTGCCACCCCCACCCAGTCCTTTCCCTCTGGCTGTTTCTGTGAAGGGGGAGCAGTACCTGCTCACTCTGTACCTTCACAGGACTCTTGCTGGCAGTGCAGCCTTTGCCCCAACCTCAAGGGCACGCCCCCCGGGATGCTTGAGTAATCCTATCCCCAAAACCCTATAGCCAAGGAAGAGATGCATTAAGTTCGGTGGTCTTAATGAGAGTTTTAGGATTAAGAATGGTTAATTCCCCTCTCCATCAAATGGTCCTCTTTTGTAAACCCACAGCTCTGTAAGATACTGGTGGCGCTTCGCTTTCCAGTTTACTACTGAGAACTTCCTCCCGGGCTGACCTTGGGATTCGAGCACAGTGCTGGCGCAAGTGACAGCTGACACGTGCCATCGTGTTCCCTCAGCCTTGCAGACAAACTGTGGATTCATGAAATATGCCTTTATTCTAGCTAATTTGATAAACGTGACTTTTGTAAGATACAAATGTTCAATACACATTTGTGTAAATAAAGTGCATAACCTTTCACCTTGTGCAGTGGCTTTAGTCTCTTATGTGGTTGGTGTAAAGTGACTGCCGTCCCCCTCTGGGGTTTCCCGGTTTTCATGTGTCCCTCACCCCCAAATGCTGCAGCAGCCCCTCCCGGGGTTCACCCAAATCACCACCACGCATGCTCCTAACAGCAGAACAGGAGGCAAGTCGGTTCACTGTTTTCTGCAATACCCTCCCACTTATTAAATCAGCCAGAGCACTGAATGTCCACAAGAATCAAGCATTTTATTTAATTACAGAAGAAAGCACTCCCTTACTGTCTTTGAAAGAGTAACATTCAGGCCTTGGTAGTTTCCGGAACGTTATTTTGTTTCCACAGCATCACTTGCCACTCAGCCCTGGAGCCGTTGACACTCCTTGTGCCACGGGATTTCTCTGTCCCTGCAAGACAAGGGCAGGTTTACGACTCACAAAACTGAGATTTCAGTAGGTAGTTCAGTCACTTCCTATTCATTTGTCTAATTATTCATTCCAGTTACAAAATGGCAGCAAAAGGGGCCAATGTTGGTCTTCCAGCTCCTTTGCACTAAGATTAGCTCTGAAACATGAATAAAGAGGAGCGTACCTTGTTATGTCTCCCGTCACCCATCAGAACAGTTAGTTCGCCTTCATGGAAACATTTGAAAAACAGATCTTTGCGCAATAACCCAGCACCCTCCCGTAACAGTGAAGAATGTTACTTGTGCAAGTCAGAATCTGATACCAATTAAATGGTGACAGCTTTGCCAATAAACAAGAATATGCTCTTCCATGGCTAGGAAGGGAGACTGCCACAGTCGACAGGTCCCAAAGACACATGGACGTCCACAACCGCGAAGTCATCAGCCGGCATAAGCAGACCCCACTCACCACGTAGCTCGCTCTTTAGTTGTCGGGGAGCGGAAGGGGTTCAGGTCAGCAGCGGCAGAGTGGATTCACAGGGCCACGTGGCGCCCTGGGCCGACTCACCCGGAGCGCTGGGTGCCCGCCAGGCCACAGTGCATGCACGAGGCTGGGGACTCAGCTTCTAGGGATGCACGTGGCGGCCGCGCGACCTAAGCGGCCCCCGAGCGCGCCCAGGCCCCCCAGCCCGCACACTGCCGCAGCTGCCCTCGCCCCCTCACTACAAGTCCCCCGGGCCCGCTGCATCCCGACTATGCCAAAAGGTTCCGTTCTAATCGCCATCTGAGCGTAAAACACACGACCCCCGACCCCCCCCCCCCCCCCCGCCCTAAAAAAGTAACCGACAGACAACACTGGCAGTTTGCAAAAGGACGAACGCTCCTGCGCACGCGCTCTTATACGGCAGATGACGCCATCCCGGGGACGCGCCGCGAAGGGCGGGGCCTATGCGATCTCTCCTCCGCCCCGCCCTGCCCCTCCCAGCTCCGTCCCGGCTCCACCTCCTTCCCAGGGGCTTCCAGTTTATCTCCACCTCCCCCACGCCCCGCCTCCTTCCACTGAGCCTCGAATTCCCGCGCATGCGCATTCGGCGGAGCTGAAAGGCTGTCGCGAGAACCGGAAATCCAGATGTCGCGGGCGCTGGAGTAGTTGTAGGGCTTGTTTCCAGTTTGTTTCAGGCTAGTTACGTTATAATCGGCGGGCCGATGGCTCCCCGCGTGTCCACCTTTTGGTTGGGCTAGTTCACACGGGACGAGCTGGTCCGTGTGTGAGTGTGGAGGGGCGGCCCTGCCGCAGGTGCGGGCTCGGTCTGACGTCATAGGGGGTTCGCGCGCGGCCGCGAACGCCGGCGTCAGGCGAGAGCGCGCCGGACCGCCCCGCGGGTGTGACCCTCCTGTTTTCTTCCTTGTTTGAAAGTTGGGGTGGAATGGACAGGGGACGTTGCCTTAGTTTCAGGCGTGCGACCCAGTGCCGGGTGTCGCACACGCCGAGAGAGGATCGTCACACCACATCTGGTTAAACTCAGCCCCACACGCAGCTACTGCTTTTTCCTCTCGAAAGGACCTTTACGACCTGCCTCCTTGGCAACGTTCAGACGGACGACGCGCGGCGTGACTGTCTAGTCGCCGCGCGCCGCCGTGACTCAGTGTGTACTTTACACCCGGAAGTCTGCCTCGCGCACCCCCTCTGGCCACCCCGGTCCGTCTGCGTCCAACTTGCTTCCCAGCTTCCCTGTAAATAGGAAACTACAGGGACAGGGAGGACGATGCAGACGCGTTCCTGGCGCTGCCGTCTGTGGCGCTGCCATCTGTGACGTCCCCACGTTAAGCAGTGCTTTAGCGACTGTTCCCATCTGCTGGTAGCGTGAGATTTTTGGCTGAGATGGCGATACATGTGTGGGGCTTTGAGATCGAGCCTAACGCGTTTTTATCCGCTGTGACGCCAGATCTTTGGGACTTAGAATACTCAGGAGAGGTCATGTAGCAATAGGTAGAGTTAAAAATTGACAGCGAGTTGAAAGGTGCCAGGCGACGCTGTTCGAACTGATCAAACGAAGGCTGGGCAGCACTTTAACTCTGCGGTTGCTACCAGAGCTGAAATAGATACTTATTTAATAGTATCTGTGAGCATCTGGAATAGATGCTCATCATAGATACTTATTCAGCAGTGTTGCTTCCCCTACTCTTTCCTCTGTGGTTTCGGTATAGAAACCGTGGGGACCGTCAGAGACACAGCGTCAACTGCACACCTCTCATAGGAACCTGCAGATGAACTGGAGGGGGTCGAGTCAGGAAGTGGCTCTCGGGCTATTTGTCACTTAACACGGGAGGTTCTTTGTGCACGAGCAGTGCGCTGCTGCTGCTGCTGCTGGGAAGGTGGTGATGGGAGCACAGCGCCCACAGAAGGCGACGGGAGTCGCCCCTCCGTCTAGCACCCAGAGTGTTCTTAGCTCTGAGCACCCACGGACGCTGCAAACTTAGAAGGCTCCAGCCTTACTATGCGGGGTGGCCCCGGTCCCAACGCTGCAGTGGAATCAAGGTCTGCTGGTCCAAGACATCACAGGTTTTCCAGATGATTCAGAGCTCAAAGCCTTGGAGTAGGCCCTGATGTCTCTCTGCACCCCACCTTTGGTTTCTGGTGCCTGTCTGAGTCAGCCAGTGTGTTGGTTGTCCACTGCTGGGTGTCAGTTGACCTATGGCATCAAGGGTTAAGGCAGCAAGCGTTCCTTATCTCAGGCGGCTTCTGTGGACGAGGACTCAAAGAGCACCTGACTGTCTCTGGATCTCACGAGATTGCAGCTAGAAGGTCCACAGGGCTGCCGGGTTTTCTTCCAAGCTGGCTGATGCATGAACTTGGCAAGTTACTGCCACCTGGCTCTCCACTGGCCGAATGAGTGTCCTCATGATCTGGCCGCTTGCTGCCCCCGAAGGAGTCACCCAGCAGAGGGGGCCCCAGTGTTCTTATGACCACCAGGTGTTAGAAGGGAGTGAGGAAACCCTGGTCACACTGGAAGGGAAGGACATGAAGCTCTGACTCTTGAAGAGTAGATATGATCCAACTCTGGGTAGATATGCTCCAACAGCAAAGGTTTCTCCCTTGTCACGCCCTCATCCACTCTAGAGACTCAGGCTAAGGAGGCCTTCACCAGGTGTCCCCTTTCTAGGCCATGCTTGTGCCTAAAGACGTCAGTTCTGCAGTGGCACTTGTCACACTGCCTCCTGCTTCATGAACCAGAGCAAGTTCATGGCCATACCCAACTTCAAAAGGATGGGGAAATGGAGCCCTAATATGTGCTTAGAAGGAAGGGAATCAGGAACATCAATGAACAGCTCTGAGGATTTCTACAGTTGCCACGTTATAGCCACCTTTTCTCCATTGTCCTGCTACTAATCTGGGATGATAGGATTGAGCTGCCGCCCCACCTTCCTAACTCCCCCTTCTAATCATCCGAGTGTATCTGTGATGGATGAGGTTTCCTGAAACACCATTTCCTCCCGCGAGCCACCTGCTACAACAACTGTAGTGACTCGCCCACCGGTTACCAGTGCCACGCTCAGCACGCTTGTTCTCTGACACGGACACTGGCCCACTGTGTCTGCAGTGTATGGATGACACCGAGACAAATTCACATGGACCACTGAGTCCTGTGGAGGAAGAGGGATGGCGTGGCTGCTCTCCAAGGGGAGAGCAAGCCTCGGAGCCATCTCGGCCACCCTCAGGAGGAGGAGGGTGCCCAGACCCTGCCTTGACAGGCTTTTATGGATCAATTTGCACAGGAATCCAGGCCGTATATACACGTAAAGCTTATCAATCTTCGTCAGGCGGAGATGATGAAACGATAGAGAAACATTCAGAGAACTCTGAGCGCCTCTCCTGAGTCAGGGTCAGATAGTTAAAGGGCCGTCAAACTTTGAGGAACAAACTCACTTCCTGCCTGGACCCTTACCATTTAAATTGACAGTATTAGCAAAGTAGGTGTCTTAGGATGTTATGCATTCTTTCTCAGGCCTGATCTCCTGGGGAGCCCGCCCTTTCCAGCACAGGGCTGCACTGCCCTCTGTCATTGTTTCAGGCAGGGGGAGTAAGGCAGCCAAGAGATTAGGAGACTTCTCACAGACAGAATGAGGACTCAGGCTATGTCAAAGCCGAGGGGCGAGGGTCCATCACCCCCTTTTTCTATTGCCCCCAAGTCCTTCCCTGAGGGCCCCCGTGATCGTACCTGTGTTAGGTCATCCCTCCCTGGAGGAATCTTACCCATTATTGGCTAACTGGTCAAGCACTGGGGGTCAGGCAGGATGAAGTAAAAGGAGCAGGAGCGGTGCTCCTGCCAGGGAGATAAGCTTTGTCTCCTTAGTGGCTTATGGTCCCAAGGTTGCTCACTCAGCCTTAGCCATGGGCCGGGGGGCAGAGGGGGCGGTTACAGCTCCTAAAACCAGGCAGGGCGGTTCCCAACAGTTCTCGTCTTTGCTCACATGCTCTCATGGCGTAGACTGCACTTCCCCTTCTTCTTGCCCACCCACGAGACTCCTCTAGGTTCTTATTTTTATTTTACAGGAACCTTTCTTCTGGAACATCCGGGTATCTTGGTCTCTTCCTTTTCTTGCCATCCTTAATATTTATTCTTGTGCCTTAGATTTTAAAAATTGTTCACCCATAAATATTTACTGAGTTCCTGCTATATGCCAGGTCCTGATCCACATGCTGGGGCAAGAGCAGTGAAGAAAACAGTCCACGTTTTTTGTTCACAGAGCTTATATTTCAGTGGTGGAGAGTGTCTATTCCTAGGACTGTCAGAGTGTGTCAGACGAGCAGAACCACCAGGAGACTCTATGGATAGTGAGGTCCACTGCGGGAGGAACTGGTACCCGCGAGAATGGCCAGGAATCTGCGCTGACTTCTCCTGGGCCCACAGTTCCACCTTGGGGACAGGACACCAGTGGGAGGAGCTGGTCCCGGGTGGCAGGCTTGCCTGGGCTCACTGTCCCACCAGGGGGGCCGGCACGGGAGTGACACGGTGCCTGGGCCGCAGCCTCGCCTTGGGCCCTGTCTGACCTTCCAGTGCGGCACAGAGTCCGACCGCGGCTCTGCCTCCTGGGGCGTCTCATGCAGAAAGTCCCTGTGGCCACTGTCAGTCTGTAGCCAATTCAGGGGAGGGAATGGAATCGTAGCCCTAGCCCAGGATGCTGTCAAAATGCAGATCACCCTCAGTTAATAAATAACGCAGTGAAGTCTTTACGTGGAGAAAAGTGAGGAAGGGGCGGAGAGTCTCTGGTCTTCGAGTGTTCAGAGAAGGGCTCGCTGAGAAGGTGCGGTCTGCTCGGTGAGGGAGGGACTTGGAGAAGGCGAGGGGGCGAGGCGCACTGACACCTGGGAGGAGAGCGTTCTCAGCACTGGGGCCTCACACCTGCTGTGCTGGACAGCTTTCCACGGGCTCCCGGGGTCCCCACCTCCCGTCCCCCCCCATGTGATTCCCTTCCCGTGAGTGGCAGAATGGTGACGTGTCACTTCTGAGATGTCATTGTAAAGGACTCTGCTTTGAGTCTTGCTACCATTCTCCGTCTCGCCTGTTTGAATTGTTGGCTCTGATGAAGCTCCTTGCTCTATGGGAGAGGCCTCTGGCCCACGGCCAGTAAGGACTGATAGGAGCTAATGATAGGAGCTAAGGGAAGTAGTCTTTAGGGAAGTAGTTTTTAGGGAAGTAGTCTTAAGAAAAGTAAGTTGCTTGTTCGACCTTAGCTGCTTGCTCAAGCCTAGGCGGGAAAACGCACACCCCACCTGGGGCAGATACTCCAGGAAGTTAAGAAGTTAAGAAAAGAA